ACAAGCTCACAAATGAAGCAAGGAAGGCAGATGAGCGCAAGGCAGCAGCTATGGGCTGTTTGAGGGATGCCATGGACTTTACTGACCGCAAACGAAAGATTATCTGCAGAGGTATGTAGGTAGCACAGGCGAACTTGAATGTTCGAGTGAATCGAGACAGAGCATGCTTTTCACAGCTATGACCACTACCCATGTGGACCATCTCACACGGTATCGGGATGGTCTTGGAAGGGTCTCCCCATTCCACGGGCCAATTATAATCTTTGCACATGGACTGAAGTAGTGATGCTTGCCCGGTGTCTTTTCCGTACACAAAGACACCTTGCCTAGCACGGCGAAGTGCTTCGATCAGGCGGCCATCCACCTTTGCTACTTCTCCTATCCATTTACCGTAAGATCTTGGTAGCCTCTCAGGCATATAAAACCATGCCCACATAACTATCGATGCACTCGTGGCAAACACACCCGCATCTGCGAGTTGAGGAGCAACACGCTCCACTAGGCTCCACTGATTTTTTGACTTTCGCCATCGCCGCCAACTTGCCCAACCCATGTAGACCATCAAATCGACCGCTCTTGTAAGGCTGAAAAGAGTGAGGTCCATGGTTCTACCTGCCAAGTGGGGATGGCTATGCGGCTCCGGTCCGAGCTTTCTCTGGTCTGCAGCATTTTTGGAATCAGTACCACCTTGACATTCGTCGCAGGCTCTCTGCAACCTGATAGGCTTCTGATTCAGAATATTAAAACCGAACCAAGCGGACAGTAACGCAGAAACAAATCTAGCCAGTCGCATGTGAAGCAGTGCATTAGAACGACCGGGTTTCAAACCCAGCTTACGAACGAGATGCACAAGACATCGTAAGAAGATCAAAGGAAAGACGGTTGAGCCCCCTACAAGTACAGCACAGAATGCCGGGAAAGCATCCAGCCGTAGAGTACTTGTCAATGTGGTGGACAACTGCATAGCCAGAGTGAGTACACCGGCCTTATCCTGATTCTAGACGGATAGGGCAGCGAAAAGTCCCATGTGTGTATACGCATCACGAACGATGCACAGATGCAGTGGGCTTAATGGTATCAGGGTAACATTAACGTACCTCCTTGAGCTGCTCTCCGAAGCTTAAGCCATGCCCCCGAATTCGCCGTAGACAGGTTATCACTCTAGGAGTAGTTGAAGATAAATAACCAAGTGCGTATGCACGTAGGATTCTGTTACGGTCAGTATCGACGTAGCCTAGTGATCCGTAATTGATGTGCTCGACGTCACCCAGAAGTGGCCGAAAATGGGAATAATGAATACTTACGGCTGTAGAATATGGATACTGCTCGGATGCTGGCGAATGATGGTGGCCAAGTCCATGGTGCATCCAACTCATTTAGTCCATGACCGTGCCTTTGAAGTCTGGGTTTGAGTTGTGAAACAATGAAACGACCTATTTGCTGGTGTTAGACTGTATCTTGGGAGTATATCACCGATTAACAGAATCGAGACCATGGCCACAAAAAGAGACGAATGAATTCTGCACAAAATCAAAGGATTGTGGCAGGACATACTGCACTAAAATCCAAGCATTTCTAGCCGGCCCAAAGATCTTGACAGAATAGGAAACTAACACAAACACTTGGCTCCGCGGCTGTTACCCAGAGTGGTACGTGCTCCGTGATGGGCAGCCCTTTTTGTATGTAGGATCGGCCGTGGATCCGTGCGACGGACTATTAGAAATTCGACCTCGGTCGTTCAAGACACGAGGGGAATGGCCGTTAACCCAGGTGTGGTTCAGGGGTTACAGACCAGGCGGAAGGCGACGATCCCCCGTTATGCCACGCTCCAAACTTGGGGTTTTATCAACCAACCGCTAGCCGTCACCTGGGGAAACCAGCTGGTGTAATGGAGCCAAGAAAGTATGAACTCCAGTAGACACAATGGTAGCGAATCGTCCAGATCGGAGGAGCCGGAGCAGTTTTACGGCTCACCTTGATGAGGGATGATCAAGGAAAAGAATTCCTGTCAGCGGGGAAGAACAAAAAAAGCAGACAGACAGAGAGTGAGTGTACATGGTGTATGAATGGAGATGTGGATAGGTGGATGGATAGATTGGATGGGCACCAGAAATGGGAATCGATCGGGCCGGATAAGGTCGAGTCTCCCCGGACTGGGAAATTGGTCCGATTCATACCGTCTGGAAACCAGAATTACACGATCTGGGTCTGTTGCGTTGCTGGCAATTGGTGGTATCAATGGTAATTATTTTACGTCACGCGACCTCCGCCGGAGCGCCAGAATTTTGCATGTGATTGCCTTGAAAAGGCCGACGGATTCCCAGCAACGAGAAGCAACTCGTGTGGTGACTGACTGTCTGAATGCTACGATCGTTCTGTCTATCTACGGTTACTCTCTCCACTGTCCCTGATCCCCGGATTTTGCCGTCAACCCTCCCGTCTAACTGTCAGTTCCAATGTGGGGGATGCCTTTTCCGTCAAGTGAATTTGGTCTTGTTGACGGTGTTTCGTATCCTAGACCTCCAGACATTCGCCCGTACTTCCCTGGCACCATCGACCGTTGATACTCCCCTCCGCGACCACCGTCCCCTATAGCTAGCTAGCTTCCAATATTCTGGTGATTGGTATCACTGGAACTCTCTGAAACCATATTGTCATCGCATTCTTGAAAGGGTTTTTTCTCTTTCCCTGCATCCGCTTTGCCGGTCAAGGCATGTTGGCACTGTCTTTCGGCGCCGCTCTCATTGAAGACTAGCACATGCTAGTCGAGTTTCTTTGCGATATCACATACTTGCCTTTTCTCTCCCCCCTCTACCATCATCGCCATGGATCTAAACAGGTCGGGGACCCATAATGGCCAGAATAGTCCGCAGCCTGGCCCCTTTGGCTGTAAGTGTATTCCTTCACTGCTGCCAAATCCTGTCTAATGTGGAGGGGCTCTAGATTCTTTTCTCTCCCCTACAGATACCCCATTCGAACCTGCTCCTGCGCCACCTCCCGGGCCGGCGCTCTTGGATCAAGATGAATCATTGATGCTGGATAACTTCTTTACTACGATGAACTCCAATCAGCTCTCCAGTGACTTTTGGCTGCAGAGTCAATCAAATAAGCCATTTGGCACCGCCAATTTCGACTTCTCAGACGAGCTCCTCCCTCCGACTTTTGAGGGGTCCACGACCTCTCTTTCATCACAACCCTCCCTCTCTCATCGCAGCATAGACAAACCGCTCATGGACGTAATGCCGGGGAACCTGAGTGCCAACTCAGATATATTCGCGGCTGCTTCCATGCTATACCATAATGGGATACACGGGGCCGATTTCAATACCAACTTAGGATCTCATTCATACCCATCCCCTGACCTAAATTTCAACAGCCTCAGAATGTCCACTCATGGCAAATTCCAACCGCAACCCAGCCATGTGCCCTTGAAACAACCCAACAGCTCATCCTGTCCTCGGTTACCCCATGGGTACCACACCTCAGAGATGCTCTTCGATGTCCGTGAACCGATATCGCCGGAGCAACAGCAGACCGCCAAGGTTCGTCCACTGCATTGGGGCTCGGATGAAAGTTTTGTGGATCAAGGATACATCGCGCCGCCGGATCAGCCAGATGAAGAGCAGCGCACGAAAGAGCTGCTCGGTCACTTGGCATGCTTCGAAGCCCAAAGCAGTGCTGCAAACACTCGAGCGCCGAGCCCAGTGCGCATCACCGGAAACTATGATGCAACATGGACTGATACAGATGCGGCCGGACAACTCAGCAACTTGCGCAGAGAGCTCAAGGACAGCATGGAAGATCTGTCCCAACCCAAGAAGAAGCAAAGAGTTTTGGTCAAGGAGGAAGAAGATGAAAACTCAGACGAGGAAAGCTCGCGGCCACGATTGAAAAAGTCCAAGGCTTCGTCATCAAGGCGAATGTCACATGACGCCGTTCGGAAACCAAGGCTTTCCCAAGGTCCAAAGCCCGCACGAGAGAACCTGACCGAAGAACAAAAGAGAAGCAACCATATTCTTTCGGAGCAAAAGCGAAGAAACTTGATCAGACAAGGGTTTGATGATTTGTGCACCCTTGTTCCTGGCCTAAAAGGCGGTGGTTTTAGCAAAAGCGCAATGCTCACGCAGGCGGCTGACTGGTTGGAAGAAGTATTGCGCGGCAATGACATCCTCAAAGCACAGCTAGCGGAGTTGAAGGCCATGAATGGCTTGGTGATGCCTCGGTAGTCACCTCAATAATGCGACCATGATCATCTCTCTTATTCTATCGAAAGCATGGGCTGATCTTCACCCATTTGTACATTGGAGCAGTTCAGCGATCTTCTGGAAGGATGCGCATTGTTCAAACGGTCATGCAGGCGTTTGTTTTTACGGCCGCCCGTCTTGATTCCTACATCGACCAGGGTTTGATGTGCCGACGCACCTGGTTGCAGTCACATTAAAAATCCCGGCCTATTACATGTCACCCCATAATACCCACTTGGATTGGCGATAATGGTTTAATTTCCTCAATACCACACAGTATCTAGTTTGATGCATGCATTCTGCCGAGAGCATAAGCTCTCCCGCGAGATTTTCTCTTTCTCCATTGGTGCTCTGCCTTCGTTGCTTCCCAATCATTGATTCAAGCAAGGATCATTAGTCTTCACGATCGTATATCCAGCCACTAGGATGTAGTATGAATCGCGTAAAACAGTGATGCATGTACAAAGTGCGATGAAAGTTGCTTCTTTCCCATGTGAATGGTAACTGTAGAGGATCTTCAACAAATGCAGCAACATACACCGTAGTTCTCCGTAGTAGATGGATAGAGAGATAGATAGTACTCCGTAGATAGCAGCGATAACCCACCGTCAGGGGCAGAACTACTAACTCGCGGGGGTGGCCCCACCGGCTCCAAGGGGCTTAGCGCAGCCCGGAATCCCCATAAGATCATGTGATCTCCTCAGCAACGGGCCAACGGCGCGTTTATTATGATGACGCTACGTCCGGGTTCCGTCTGGGCATGTGGGTGTAAATACATCAAAAGTGATCAAAGCTATATAATTCAAATTATTCCCTCACCTATAGGATAATTTACAGGTCAAACATGCCTCCCAAGCGGAAGCGTTCCGGCAATGGACCCGAGCAAAGGAGTGAGACGCGCAACAAGCCTTATGCCTACTTGAAGCCCCAGGTCCGGCAGGTCTCCGAAAGGACCATCAAATCCAAGTGGTCCACACTTCCGGAGCCGGTTCAAGACAGGGTGCGCGATATGTTCCGGGCCCTGGAGCGTCCAGTTATTGTAAGACAGCATAACGAGGGCAAACGCATCGAAGCACAGGCTGCTGTTCAAGCTGTTGTGAAAAAGTATAGTTCCCGGCCTTCTGTCTCGAGGGAAATGATTATACTGACCTGTAATCTTCCGATACTATAGTCTGGGAAAGCGGCTTCCGCGCATGCCATTTCCTCCAGTCACGAAAGACTCTGTCTTTGAGTACGAGGCAGCGCTCAAGGAGCATGTAAGTAACGCTCGATAAACCTCATTGAAGATATGGCTGACACATGTTTGCAGTGTTCCTTGGAGGCTACTTTAGCCACAGTGACTGATAGTATCGATCTCTTGAAGGCTGAAGTCGAAAAGGAAGAAGCTATGCTCGAAAGAGAGAAGAAGCAACTGCAGGAAATGGAGAGGAATGCGAAGCGAGCAGAAGCGGAGAGGAAGAGGCAATCGAAGAACGTAAGTGTGGCCTTGACGCGAGTAAGATAAGAGAATTACGATGACGCTGACCTTCTCTAAGGAGCACCCTGTTCTGCGGCAGGTCGACAGCTTGCCTGACGAGTATAACCAGAAGCAGTCCGATTTTACCCTTGCGGGAGGAAAAGAAACCCAAACGATGTTCGACGAGGTGCGTTTTCAGCTCCTCTGTACCCGTGCTTGATATCTGTTGCTGACATACCGTGTTTAGCTTGAAAATGACCCAGAGGTCTCGAATATCCTGAAACAACTGACTGGGCATCTGAAGTCAATGCAAAACAATACCGCACCCGTTGCCGGTTTGAAGGACGCAATTGGCAGGTCGCATGCAGCATTGAGTCTAACATTTATGCCCGAAGACTGAAACCACAAACATATGCATCAATGGCAAGTCCAAAACGATTGTGCTGTTACAGTTTGTACGCCGTCTGGAGCGCGTACTCGAAGATGCAAGCCTCATGCCAGTCTTCAAGATCTCTTGGAAAACAAGTCATGCGCAGGACGGTATTTGATATCCTACGGTCGATCAAGGCATCGCGAGCTAGTTTGACGCTACGTACCTGGAAGGTCTACCGCATCGACTTTGTATATATCCCTCACAGGACACCAGTGATATATGGGGCTAAACGAATTCCCGCCCCTCGGAGAATTGGTCCTCCTATTCAGGACAAGCTGGGCCTCATCGCGTTCTACCTCGTTCTTTGTCAAGACTCAGGTTCTGGGAATCCTCTAGCTCCAAGTGGAGTTTAGCCAGATATTGACGGCGGACCCCCACTAGTTAAATACAGGCAAAGAAGTCTAGTGGGTATATAAGAAGCTTGTGGCTAGTAATGCTAATGGGGCATCATTCACGGGTCATTAGCCACCCAGAAAATACTTAATACAAGCCTGATTTTGGAAAGGAAATAAATGACTCTACTGCCTACTCTGCAAAACCGCCCAGTGTAAGAGCATGTGGCTGCATATGCTAGATGCAAGTTAACCGAGGTAGAAACCTTGTAACTAAATTCAATGACAGATGGTCGTCCTATATGTTAACATCAGAAATACGAGGATTCTGTTTAACCTGTATTTACTTTTTCGCTTGAACAACTGATATTGGCTGCTTTGCTTCGCGCCGTGAGGGATAGTGTCACACATAGGTTAGCCGCTCATATGCTTTTCCGAGGCTACTAACCGGGTTCGCCGCTGCCGACCCCAATGCGGAGGGGCCCGGGAAATGAAAGATCCAAGTCCCGCACCAGCGGGGAACTTCAATGAGCCGATCGCATCGCGCGTGCCCTCACATTTTCACGTTACAGATCAGCCCGATACCTTCGCCCTCTGCTTGTTCGGTCCATTCACACCCAGTCGAATGTCTGCAGACGGCGATTTTACTCCTCGTTTGTGTTCCAATCGACAGCAACAGTGTTAACGGCGAAACGAACCCTGCGCAACACCTTGCGCCTAGCGATCAATGACGGAGAAAAGTGCGGCGTCAACGGGTCCAGGTCCCGATCAACAAAACAGCAATGGGACAGCGGAGAGAAAACCGGATGTGACAGACGAGGAACAGACTGGGGCAGATGCTGGTGCGAAAGACAACTCGCAGGATACACCGTCCCTCAAGACTGAGGGAGCTGCCGCGGGGGCTCACCCAAGTCCCAAGAAACGTCGCAAAGTCAATCATGGTATGGCGCTATTTGCTATGCATCCTACAAGGATCAAGGCAGCGACTCAGCGTTTCCCCCCTGTTGTTTCGACCACGTTGCTAATTAGAGTGCCATGTTTGCAGCATGCGTTTACTGTCGGCGATCGGTAAAGTCTTTCCCCTCAAACAAGATCACCTTCCTCGCCCCTCACTTCAATCAACCCGAACAAACATCGCCCTTGATACTTGTTGGGCTCTACGCATAGAGGAGTAATTTGCTAACTGGAAGGCACTCGCTCGCGTGGCACAGCATATGACTTGCGACTCGGTACGACCCGTCTGAGCTCTACCCTCCAGCGCATTCCTGTGAAACGTGGAGTGCAATTACCCTTCGAAGATCTAGTTGCTGACGGTCATTGCTTTGCTGGAAATGTAGGAGCGACCCTGCACGCGATGCATAAAACGGAATATTGGCCACCTTTGCCACGACGAACCTCGGGAACCTTCAAAACGGTCGCGGAGTGAAAACGATCATTCGGCCGCCGATGACGAGGGCTCTTCGAATAATGAGTATTCCGGTGTCCAAATGCCCAGAAACGTCGACGGCCCAGAAGCTGCAGGTCAGCAAATGCTACCCGACGGGTCCATCGGCCTACCCACCGCTTCTGTAACTTCTGTGCAGCAGCCAGGCAACATGGCTTCTTCTGGCCAGGGTCTTAATGCTCAACAGCAAAGTGAGTCCTACCTATAAAGTCGTCTAGTGCTTCATATTGACTTTAGTAAGTGATTGGGTACAACGAATGGCTTGGTGGACAAAGCCAGTTCCAGGACATGCACACGTTTCACCCTTCATACATGTTCAATGCACCAGAGGTCACTAATGAGTACAACCTCCTTGGTGACTTTCTGAGCAATAGCCTTTTGGATGATGGAGGAGTGTTCCAGAATGATGAGCTGCAGGGTATTTACTCGGATCCGTCATTACTCTCTATGGCGACTCTGGGAAACTCGAGTCAAAGCCTTCTTCAGCAGTCTCAACCTGCGCAACCCCAACCTAATCAACAGGCTCAGGGCGAACCTTTACAAGGGCCTACACCTGCAGTGAGCAATGACAAGGCGAGAGAGACCTATTACATGACCGCAGCAGATCCATCAGGGTCCGACCCGCCAGAGGAGCGGATGAACAAGCTTCTTAAAGCGAAGTACGACGCGGGACTCCTTCGCCCATTCAACTACGTGAAGGGTTATGCCAGGCTCAATCAATATATGGAGCGACACTTGCAACAAGCCTCGCGGCAGAAGATCCTCCGACAATTAGATAAATTTCGGCCGAAGTTTCGTGAGCGAATGCAGAGCCTGACCGACATTGAACTCATCCTCGTGGAGATGTGGTTTGAACGAAGCCTGATGGAATATGATCGAGTTTTTGCTAGTATGGCTATTCCGGCTTGTTGCTGGAGACGAACGGGTGAAATATTCCGTGGCAATAAAGAAATGGCAGAGTTGATCGGCGTACCGATTGAGACTCTCCGAGACGTAAGTGATATCTGCAGACATAAATCTCCGTGGTCAACGTCTAATATGACTTTCATATTCAGGGAAAGCTTGCAATCCACGAGATCATCGTGGAAGACCAGCTAGTGAGCTACTGGGAGAAGTTCGGAGCTATTGCCTTTGACAACACGCAAAAAGCCATGCTCACAAGCTGCACCCTGAAAAACCCCAATTCCAACTCCCCTGGAGATGGAATCCCCTGTTGCTTCTCGTTTACAATCCGAAGAGATACCCATAACATGTGAGTGACATCATCAGACGGTGCGATGGCTCGGTGCTAACTGCTGTTGTTCTAGCCCATCACTCATTATTGGGAATTTTCTGCCGTCACAGCGAAAGGCCAAATAAGCCCTGGAGTTATTTCCCTCGTATTCCTTTATTGTTGCCTAGCAAATGCTCGCGTGGGTTGACGCTTAGTTACTGTCTTCTTTCTTGGTGCTTACTAGTCCTCCTATTGGAGGAGCTTCGCGATATTGTTCCCTTCATACCCTTCTGTCATTGATTTAAACGGCCATCAAAAATGTACCATAACATCTTCAAGGCGTGACTTATTTCCAAGGGAAGGTAGATTGTGGCCTTGTAACGTGAACCCGCAATGGACTAGATTGGTCAGGTGTCATTCCGTACTTCGCTTTTGGTGTCGGCCAAGTATCTGCAGAACTAGAGTCCTCTTCTCTAAGCCATTAGAACAACGACTAAATCAATGACACATCGCAGCTCAAAAGCAGAGATGGACGTCATTCTAGGTGAATCACCTTTTCTGCCCGTCGTTTCATACCTCTTATTGCCTCATCCACTAAGAACGAAGCAACAGACTTCGCAGCTGGCCTAGCCGATCGACTCGCTATCGACCAAAAGAAGCGTCATCTAGGTTTAGACGTTAAATCTGTGGCTCAACTGGATCAGCAACTGAGTGATTTTCCTTTGCTGATAGCGAGTCCCTCGTCCTCGACTCGGCGCCGGTTTGACCAAGAAGGAACACAGCTATGGAATACTTGCATACAACTCATGACCGTCTATAGAGACAGCAAAGAAGAAGTTGTTCTGGTGTGCAAAGGTAATATCAGGTCTCTTAGCGAGCATAGCCTTTCGCTGAGTACGGCATAGTGAAGGCATTCGCTTACGCGATGTTGGAGTATGCCGCACCATATCGAGACACGGGTAAGTATAACCCATTAATTATTGTATGCGTATAGGGACAGTTAACATCGCCCAGGAAGCAACAGGGCCTTAGAGACAGCCTTTAGCATGGCATCGACGTGCATAGGTAAGATCAAATGCTTGTTACTTGCTCCAATATCTCCATGAACATAGCTCTAAATATTCGCTATAGATAACGGCTGTCTCGATCTAAGCCAGAGGATAATTGAGACTGCAGCTGTGCGCTTAGATAAGCTTGAGAAATCCGAATGTGACATTGAGTGCTCAAAGCTTCAACAGTATACCACAGAGTACTACATGATTCGTGTCTATTTGGTATGGTCTACCCGTCCACAAATCACATCAGGCTGACTGTTAGATCTATGTAGGCATGGCTACAAGGGAGACTCGACATCGCAGAACACTTGTTTTCACAAATACCAGTATCGGACGATGGCAGGGGTCAAGGTCGTGTCATGGACATATGCTATAAGATCGGTAACTGTGCGCTTTCACGCAAGCAGTATGATGTCTCTGTGAAGTGGTTGGGAAGGGCGTTGAGAGCATGTGAGCTCATAGGGCATATGGACCAGTTACCGGTTCTGTCAATAAAGGATAAAGAGCTACGGATACTCCATACTTCTGGTAGGTTGCTCTTACATCATGACCATGTTAAATATCTCATGCAGAGCAGTTCGTGCCGGTCTTCGTCTTGATACCAAAGATCCCAATGGCTTTCTTGCTAAAGCCCTGGATGGACTGAAAATTGTAAGCCATGAACTCCAGTCATTATATATTGGCTAATATCAAACAGCATTACGGTGGAATGTTCCCAGTTCAGGTCATCCAACTTGAGTTACTGGGCAAGGAAGAACTAGATGAAAGTATCTTTTCGCAAGGTCGCTGGATTATATCCTGTGGTTGCCCTCCCTTCTTGACTAACGTAGGGGTTGACAGTGCTACAAAGTACCATTGCATCGCCTGAATTCAAAGATTCACACCTTACAATGTAAATGGTCCAGTATGACCCGTGTATGCTGTACAGTGCTAAGTATTGAGAGTAGCATCATGTATTATATACAGAAGCTGCCTGGTACATGGTGAGTGTATCGTTCAGATTCGTATGCTTATCTAACAAAGTGTCAGCCCAGAGGTCTCCATTACGATGCTCAAGGAACTGCTCGAACAGGTCATTCTTCTCCCAAATAACGAAACTTCACTCGAGAAAGTGTTTATAACATTCGTACATGGATTGATGCACTCGAAGAAATGTGCAAATACTAGCCTCGAAATCTTCCAGGAGACAATTGCCAGCTCAAGGAGGCATTATAAACAGCCGTTGAGTGAAGCGGCAACAGAAGCAACACTCATCGTACGTTAGCCCTTATCACAGCTCCAGCTACTATAGTTGGGCTCATTGAGATATAGCTCATCTGGAAACATGTCACCAATGCGATCTCGAATGACGAAAAATCAGTAGCAGGCAAATGGTGTCTTTGTTTGCTAGAAGAGCCAATGTTTCAGATTTCTCTTGCAAACAAGGCTAAGCTTTTTAGGTAGTTTGTCCACACCTGATAGATCTGCCCTAGAACAAGATCTAAAACCAAGCAGACAGTTCCTCATGTGCACTACACATGACCCGAATGCCTCACAAGCGATTGATATATTCAATCGAATGCCCGAAGAATGCAGATCATGTCCGTCAACCTTGTACCTCATGTACATACGAAGCCTGCAGAGCAGCGAGCCTATCGCATGTAAGTAAACCTCAAGCGCTCTAATAGACATCTAATCCGACACATAAAAGCAAATATATATCTCGAGTCGCTCCTTGGGAACGCAGAAGCCATTCCATACCTCTTATCATGTGTACTAGAAGCCTTCAAGCTTGGGAAGACCCAGCAAGGGCTGGAGAGTCTTGATCAACTTTTTAAGTCCGCGAAGTGTTCTAGCGCAGAAGGATGCCATGTCGGAAAACTGTTACAGTATGGCTAACCTTCTATTATGAGATGCTCATGCTAACCTCAAAATATGCCTGCTCTTCGACTTGTTTCTACCGAGCTCGAGAACTCCGGATGGGGAAACGAAACATTACTGAACAAGATTCAGACATTGATGAATCAAGGTAAGTCTCACGCAGAAGCTTGGCAGCTGTTGGCTGACTAGCCAGGATTGGTCATGGCAAGTCGCGGATCACCGGACAACCGCGTATTTTCAGTTAAAGAGCTTGCATGGTTTGCCAAAGCCAGTTATAGCATTGCTTCCAAAGTATTCAGATCAACCAATCTGGAGCCGGTCATGCATCTACTAGACATATCTAAGAAGGCAAGTATGAGACTTCCGAGGCGAATTGATTCCCTCTAATATAGCGTAGTTCGCCGATAATTGTCAACACCCTGATGCCGAAGAGCACATTGTTCTATCAGAACACTTTCTTCTCTGCGACTCTCTCAAAATAGCCAGAATCGCGATAGAAGCCCGCAAAGAAATTAGGGTCGATGAGAAGGTTCGCTTTCAGCCAGAGCTCTTCTATATAGAATCTAATAAAGCATCCAGCAAAAGCACTACAGAGCTATCCACAAAATCAGTGCACACTTCCGAGAACAGTTCAACAGCCAACAAACCAAAAACAACACTAATTCTGGGTTCGAGAGGTGGCTCTCCCAGCATCGCACCATCCTCGCCCTCGATCTCGAGGCATCTATCTTCTTAAAAAGCTGGACCGGTGTCTGCACAATCATCGAAGAAGCTAGTCCATTCTTAGACGAGAAACTCAGCTCGGCATTCCTATACGGTATCCTCCGCTCTGAAGGTCATCTAAAATCTAAAGTACAAGCAGTCAAGGTATGCATTCACTTCTCACTCCCTGAAATCAGCCAGGTACACCTCCAAAAACACTACGTAGCATCCAACAAGACATACCTGCCAGCTGATCATCACGCAATACATGACAGACCCTGCTCCGTACCCTGCACGCCTCACCATCCCCCTCCCTAGACAACCCAACCTTCATCATGCAAACCCTTCCTCGCTACATTCGCTGTCTATTCCAACTCTCCCTCGACGCAGCAGAGTACCAGCTCGCAGAGTCAATTCTCGATCAGTCTCTCATATCAGTTCAAGAAAGACATGATAAAGCCGGGAACAATGCCAGTCTGTCACTACCGGGGTATCCCGAAGACGAGATACGATGGCTATCGACCGTAGCATTCAATCGAGCGGTGGATTACTACCTCGCTGCAGCGGATGCAGATTGCCGACGATGGGCCGGGAAGGCAATCAACCTTGCTGATATGGCACGAGATGATGGTGCACTAGGAAGGTTATTACGAGGGAAGTTGGAGATGCTGACTTGATGTGAAGCTTTCCATATTAAATGACATCGTGGAGATTCTATGGGAGGGATTGGAATGGGAGAATGGTATTCAGTAGGGTTATGAGGTATGAAGATATATATTTTTCCCGAGGTAAAACAGCAATGCCATCATCATTACTAGTTTTACATGCATATGCTTTCGAGACTTTGATGTATAAACACACGTGTTTCATCTTAGTGCCAATTCATCCCAAAACTTCAATTATCCTCTACACGATATCTTCCGCAACTGTAAAACTGTCAAGTACTTTCTTAGGGCTGTAATTTTCGTTTTCTATTTTTCAGTATTCAAAGTTGGCGCTAATGCACCTGGATGACGCTTTTTCGACCAATCAGCGGCTATAGTAGTTCTCCCTGAGTATAGCCAGATCCACTTCACTTTACTACTACCTCGACCTAATCTTCGTCTCTGATGTTCCAATTGAGCTACTGTATAGATTGCTATTAACATACTACAATGGTAGAAGAAATCCTATCTCAACCCGTCTATGCTGTCTACAGCAACCAAGCATAACATCAGAATTCAGATTCTCACAAACCGTTCTACTATAGTCACCAACAACAGAAAAACCAACACACATCTTCTAAAAATCAAACCTCTCCCCCACAAGCTCCTCACTCACACTCCAAAGCCTCTCCGCAATCCCCCTATCAGTCGCAAACGCAACAACACCCCCATCATCAACCTTACAATCAGCCAAATAAACCCCCTTAACCTGTCCATCCCCACTATCAACATCCACCACCTTCAAACGCGGATCCACCGCCGCCAGAACCGTCGTATTAGCCCCCCCACCTCCCTTGACTTCTGCGTAGGATCCATCCCCAAATCCTTCACCCTCTGCAGGGCAGCCTCAACATCGCTAGGTGTCACATGTCGACCAATTCCCGTGTCGACGGCGCCGGGGTGTACGGCGAACGCTGCGATGTTGTACTTAGCAAGTAGTTTCTGGTTGAGGGATATCGCGTGCAGGATATTAGCGGTCTTGGACTGCCCGTAGGAGAAGAGGCCGTAGTATGCCTCGTCTGCGTGAGAGTTGCCGGTGAGGTACTCTGTCATCCGGAGGTCGGGACGCTCGGACTCGGGTAGTTCGTTGGGGAGATTAGGGAAGGAGAGGTCGGTGAAGCGGACGGGGGAGAATTTGTGGCCGAAGGAGCTGAGGTTAATAATTCTTGTTGGAGGGGCAAGACCAGAGTGGGAGGCTTTGGTGGTGGTGGTGGTGGTAGAAGCGGCCTTGATCAGCTTAGACAGGATACGGTTGGTAAAGAGGAGGTGGCCGATGTGGTTCGTTGCAAAGGTCGTCTCGAGTCCGTCCTCGGTGAGAGTTCGGGTGGGAATGGACATGACGCCTGCGTTGTTGATCAGGATGTCGATTGTCGGGATGGAGGTGTTGGCCAGGAGTTGGGATGCTGCGGCGCGGACGGATTTTTTGGGAGGATAAGTCCATGATCAGGGAGTGGTAGGTGGTGGCTGGGTAGGTTGATTCGAGGTGGGTGATGGCCGCTTGGACTTTCTTGGTGAATCGTCCTGAGATGATCAGGTTTGTTGGCAATTGGGAGGCGAAGGCTTCGGCGGTTGCGAGTCCCAAGCTGCCTGGGGAAACGCCGGTGATGAGGATGGTCTTGCCCTGCACGGCTTCTGGGAAGGAAGCCGTGATCTCGGCGGCCGGGGTCTGGGGGGTGAATGTCATCTTGGAATGTTCTAATCAATGCTCATGAAGGTTGACGTATGAAGCATGGGACTGGGACATGAGGGTTGAAGAGGTCATCACATAGCCATTGCTCTGAGCAGGGTGTTTTTTGTTTACACCCTGCTGTTCGATGATTGGTTAAAGAGCAGTCATCCAGTTGCATCGGTTCGGTGGGTCTTGAACCTGATCTCGGTAGTATATTGGGGATGATGCTGCGGACACTGGATACATTAGTAGGTAAGTATGCTTCTGACCTCATACATTTCATATCATCTTCGAAAGAAGGTAGATGTCATGATGGTAATACTTACTCAATCTGATGCCATAGAGATAGTTGCCAAATTACTTCAACACGCTGAAGTCATATCAAGCCTCTTGGAATCTCTGTATGACTCAAAGACAGACAAATTCCGATATATCGCGATAGGGTGCCGACACAATGGTCCGCTAATGCATGCTTATAGTAAATCATTCCATAGAGTTGCATCGGATTCTTGATGGTCGAGCCACGCTACGATGTTAGCGCTGGCTCGCATGTGCTTGGATAGGGCCTGTATAGTGCATAGATCTACTGTAGTAAGATCTCCAGTATCAGTAGCTACTACTATCTTCGTATCCCTTTTTGTGCGGGGGGTTTGCAACTAGGTATTGTGATTCTTGTTCTTCCTGTTCACGGTATGGTAGACCACCAGTACTAACTATTTGAAGAGAAGGTGCTAATACTAGTACATGAATCAGGTCTCCATATTCGTAATCTCTGATATATAATGCCATTCAACAGGAGACTGCAATAAGGAAACCATGTCAGGGCTGGCTGTGGATGTGGGGAAATCTCTAAAGGGCACTGCAGAGCCATATCAAAACTGGCATCGGATAAAGGTTCAACATGGCATATAATTGAGATTCAGAAGAAGACAGTCTTCTGTCGCAAACTGCGACAATGCTTGGGTATCATTTAGAAGGTAGGTAAAGATCCGAACGATGAATAAGGATTCGGGAAAAATGACAATGTAAGGTAGATAAAAAGACTTGAAAATGAACCGATACAGCAAAGAGAAGGAATCTTTGAGAGGGCAATAGTGCAATGGCGGATGCACGAGAGCACCTCGTGTGGTGAAACACTGAACGTTCAATGAGGACGGACTGGGTCAGCTTGCAAGGGAAGGCTTGGAGAAAGAAGTCGAAAACATGCGCCCCAAACTCCTTGAACTTTCCGCGCCCCGAATATCATGCAAGAGGGTGGAAGCAGAATATCCAACACCTGCAATGCGCAAATAAGATGAAACCATACCTAAGCAGACCCCTCGCATGAGAACAAATGAAGTCTAAGGATAGCGCTGAATTTCTTGAATGTTACGAAGAAGGGCAGGGCGAATGTTAAAGAGAAGAAGTCGAAGAAAGAAAAGAACGAAGGTTGAGAAGATATGAATGGGTGAACAAAGGCAGGCGCCAGTGGAACCGCCTTCGTATTTAGCTCACCCTATCCGCATGAAGCGTTAGGCGTCTCTTTCGAGCGTACAACCGACGACAGCATCTGGCAGGGTGTATATATGGATCTCTTGGATGCATCATGCAAGGGCTTTTTCATTCTCCTTTCCGCTGCTTTCAGTCTCAGTCTCCGCGCTCTCGCTGCTGTTACTTCGAAGGTTGAGAGCCCGTAGAGTTAGGTTCAGCTCTCTCTCGAGCTCCTTCTGGGCATGAATATTTCCCACCACTGATCCATTGAGCTTCTTCCTGTAAGCTTTCAATGTACGACACACTTGTTCTGTGGACGTGTTGAGGCTTCCAAAATCGCTTTTGCCGGAGAGTCTGGCCCGAGCACGAATATCAAGAGAGGAGCGGCGGGATTCGCCTCGACCACTGCCAGCCTTCCTTGTGCTTGCGGTCTTTGAAGTATGCAAAGAGGGAGATGTAGGGTGTGACTTGTCTCGGCAAGCGCTAGAGGTGGGGGAGCGACGATTCGATGTCGCCGAGGGCGTAGTGGGCGGTGGTGTATTCCCGTGCTTTGCGGGAGACAGCGAGAACTTGGAAAGTTTCCGTAAGAAAGTCGGAGAATGGCCGCGAGCCGGAGTGGGGGTGACAGCAATGTTTTCCTGTCGTTGGAGCCCGGCAAGCTCGGTCTTAGACAAAACCTTGCGTAGAGGGGGTTTAGCAAGTGTCAATTCCTTCACAGGAGCATCATCGTCTTTGTGCAGGGCAGCGAAGGGCTCCGATGATGATTGAGGAAGCACAGATACTCCCCAGATCATAACAAGCCCATCAAGGCCGGAGCTAATGAGAATCCGGTCGTCTGACTGGGTGGAGTCATTGGAGTGATTTGCAAGTAAGCAAGCATCACTCATGCCTTCTGTGTGCCCAAATTCAGCTGAGAGGAGCACGCCACGTTCCAAGTCGTATACACGTATCGACTTGTCGGTGGTTGAGACCCCGAAGAGTAGCTTCGAGAAACTCTGCTTTGAGATATCAGAAGTCACGGTCAAAGAGTTCATGACAACTGTATCATTTCCATCCGAATCTATAGCTCGGAAGGACATGATCTGACGACCGGAAGTGAGGTCATATTGTTGAATACATCGATCAGCAGTAGATACGACAAGGACATCCGTATCTGTAGAAAGAGTCATGGACACTGGGGAGGCCTTCATCGTAATCACCCTGGTGATCAAGTAAGCAACAATCGGCGTACCATTGACCTCTCGGCTAACACGGTCTCTAATGAGAATGGTACGATCGGCAGATGACGAAAGGAGCTTCTCTCCGTTGTCAAGGAAGAGGAGCTGGTGTACGGCCCCAACGTGGTCATCCATAGTTTGGATCAACTCAATTTTGTTATTGCTTCTCTCGAATAGCTGGACCATGCGGTCACGTCCACAGCTGGCGATCAAGCAGGTATCCGGTGTTGTATGCAGAGCAATGTCAGTGATTTCTCCTCCATGGGCTCGGACCTCATCCAAGGGCTCCCATGAGGAGCCTAGCAGCATCCTGTGTCGCTCTAGTCAGCAAAAACGATGAACTTGACTCCTAACAAACAACGGCAACGTACCTTAGGACACCAAATTTATCACCCGAGACAAACAGGTCAATCTCATCCGTAGCTCGTACTACTTTCAACTCATTGGAAATGTCCTCATCACAGCCAGGGGGATGCTCCAGAACGATTGCACGCGAATCCTTGCACGTCCCTTGGGAGTTCCAAAACTTCACGCTGCCCTTGCGAGACCATGTGAAGAAAGTAGCTTCATACTGGTTCGGAGTTTTGAGTTCACGTATCCCAAGCACCGCCTCTCTGTGAGCGGAGACCATGGTCTGAGGGGTTCTCTGGTCGACTTCGTCGCCCAATTCGTCGCCCGAATGTATCTCAATAGCATTAGTCGAGTCCACCGCCACCACACGAGACCCCAGAGAACCGATGCAGATTATTGCAGGGCCCTTGAGCGCCTGCTCTGCTGATGACCTGCCAGAAAGTGTGGGAGACAGGGGAGCGGCCGATGAGCGTATCTTCTCGAAACTGAAAGGTTGAATCTGTCCGCCCCTTCCGCCAACCCAAATACAAGAGCGGTGCCAGTCGACCGCCAAGGAAGTTATGCCAAAATCCAGGTATTGAACAACGGATAATTTTTGGGATCCCTCACTATCATCCACCAAGCACAAAGCCCCCGTATCGGTGCCTACGACTGACTCCCGATCGGAAAAGCTTGCTACGCTAGAGAATGTGCTTTCGGCCAGCGAACCCAGTAAACAATTTCGTCCCGAAAATGCTTTGGGAATCTGATTCGGGGAGCTGCTTGGGACCTCCACAGTAAGGCGAGACCGAGGGGAGCCAGGCCTTGCATCTGGAAGTCTCCATACTTTCACATGTCGGACTCCCACACTAAAACAGGAATTAGTTGATATCCACCTCAACATATAGCATACACCGCTAGGACGTACGTGATTAATGTCTGACCCATCCAACACATGTCACGGACATGGGAAGTGCACTTGTTGGTTGAGTGAAGTTTTGCCGAACCAGTCTTCGGGTTGATGGTCCATACGAAAAGAAATCCATCATTCACGTCGCCGAGCGTTGCTAAATACTGTGAATCCGGACTGAAGGCCAGGCCACGCACACCAAATGTATGCTCCGTAAGGATCGAAAGTGGAATTTCCGAAGATGTGTCTTTCGCTGTTGAGAAGATCATGATTCGGGGGCTATAACCAGTCTAGCAGAAGTCAGTGCATTATTGACGGCGGCACAAGGGTTACTTGGCTTACTTCTCCTACTGCGAGGAACTCCCCATTAGGGCTGATTGCGGTACACGTAACCGCCTTAACTCTCTCGCGGGAAGACCAACCACGGGGACTACCGGGATCAGCCGTATCATGGCACGGAGAGCCATTGTAAGCATTGCTGTGGGCGGTCGATCTCAGGCTTGAAGAGAATTTTGCTCGACTGTCAGGCGTTGTAGGCGGCGTGGATTGGTGGTAGAACGATGTAACTGGATTCACACTGGCTGCCGAGGGCCGTGCCCTGAAAAAGCGTTGGTTTACACAGTCCTTGTCATCCAATTCAACAAGTACCGCCACTGAGCCTGCACAGAGGGCGAAAGACCTGCTTTGCTCATGACTCGAGAATCCATGGGGGGTAGTTGTGGTTGTTCCGAGTACTGTCCGCAGGGTCAAGGCTGTCTGATGAGACGGTGCTTTGTGTATGGAAGAGCGCGTTGGCGGTCTCAGGATTGGAGAATTCGAAGGAGTGATGCGAAGCGATGAAGCGGGCCTGCTCTTTGCGCTCAACGAGTTGGTCGTCATTGCGTCGGCTTCATTCACGAGGGATTACGATCTTTCAGTCGACAGGATTTCGAACGCATTGGTGGGCTGGGGGCTTGTATGTCTTTTTTATGCCTGCTTCCGACAGAAAATATTGTATGGCTCTCAAAGGCCCTGGTTTCGGGGAAAGAGCCGCAGTTCAAGCGAGGAAGGAGAAAGTGTGGAATATCGAGGAGCCTTGCTTATGAGCGACGGAACTTTTCGGTCGGGAGGGACGAGGATTTCGATGTCGACAGTGAAGTCTCTTTTCGTTCTCCGTATATGATTTTCTTTTTCTCCTTGTGCGTGGATGGCGGCGAAGAGGCTGGTGTGACGACAGAACGAAAAGGCGGCGGAGATCGGGGAGAAGGACGAGAGGACCGGCGAAGGAGGTGGGGGGGCAGGAATCACAATAAAAACAATGGCTCTAAATGAATGACTAGGTCAGATGGTCAAGGGAAAGGAGCGAGGGAGAGAAGAGAATGTAGGGAAGGGATGATTGAGGCCTTGACGAAGCAAAGGGCAGGATGTGGACGAGGTGAGCCAGATAAACACAGAGCTCCCAGCTTGACCACCACCAGCACCACCACAACCATAACATTCCACGGGCGGAGAGCCGAAAAATGATGGACGAACCCTTGGCGCTGGGCTGCTTCTAGTCGTGTTTAGCTTCGGGAAAGCTAAATTCGGGGGCACTTGAGAGTTCCCGTCGAGCTGATCCAAGATCCTAGACGATCATCCCTGATCCGGTGGGGAGAAGAAGCGAGAGATGCTGCCAGTCACGGCTGTGGGATAAGAAGGTGAGATGGTGGTTACTTCCACCACCACACCAACTTCTTCCCACTTTGTGTATGTGTCTCCTCCCATCATGCCTCGCCCAGTGATCGGGCCAACCTCCCGGCGAGATTGGGAATGAAAGTTGAGAGGCTTGATCGACCTCCTCACAGGGCATCAAGTGGCCCCGGCTCGGTGGGGATCTGCTAATCCTTCTGGGTTCTTTTGACTTGTCGCGAGTCATCATCATCCATGACACAGCCAATTCATCCTTCTTACCACTGCCATGCGTGGACTGTTATTAGTTGGTAGTGGAAAGAAGAAGAAAATATCATCTGAAACATATTCAATAAATAGCCCATTTGTACCGCAACTGTCAAGGCGAGGATGAGATTCAGGTTACAATTCGGTCCCGTAACTTTTGGGGACTAACGAAAGTTGTATTTGTTACATGCTGTATGGCACGCCGACTAGCGCGGCACAAGGGGACAAAGAGCTGGAGGTTAAGGCAGACAATTGGCTTGGGTAGCCTTGACTTCTAGGCCAATCTTGATTAAACGGGATATTACGGTGTAAGCCTTCAATTTGCACCAATTTGCACCAATGAGCCCCTTACCCGGGTGAAGAATGGAATCGAATCATTAGAGACATCTAGTCATTTTAGATCTAAAATATTTGTTCAGTCCATCAACAGCCATCCTCGTGCGTACAATTAATATTAATAGATGGGTGGAGCGTTATATTGTACCGGGCCAACCTCGATATGGCTTCCAAAAGGGTAGAGCGACTAATCTCCGCTCTGCAACTGTTCATGCTCTTCATTGTGATAGTTATTACTTATTAGGGCAACTGACTGGTCTTTCCAGGCTTGCTTCTCTCCACCGCTCCTTCTACTTTGACAGGTCTGCTTCCTCCTGGGGCTTGGATACTTGGTCACATGACATTTATGCCTCAGGCCCTAATTGTTCTAGACCTCTTCCAGAAGTCTCTCTGCAGTCGCAAGTCTTTTAGTGTCCGGGAGAATTTCCCCAGCTTCCATCTCTCTCTTTCAAATCAAGGAACTTTGTTCTGTTAAGTCTTTACTATGGCAGGTGTCTGCGCTTCATCCCTCAGACTCTCCCTCCCAAATGTCTTGCGAAATGCTCTCCGATCAGAAATCGCCTCGGACCTCCATCAGGGTCCCGCACCTCGGAGAATCCTCTCCATAACGCCTCTTTCTCATAGCAGATGCAAAACGCAACGACGGAACTTCAGCGCCTCTATCAAACCTCAGCTTTGCCAATCCGCGCCATATCTATCGGCACATGACTCCTCCTCTGCCGCCTCAGCTCCTTCTAATACCACGCCGCTGGAAAGCCCAGAAAATAAACCATCTGCCTCGACCGAAGCAAATGCATCGCCAGAAGTGGATGACTCCAAAACCAGCCATGTGGACTCCATAACTGAGACACCTACCTCCGATACATTTACCGATAAGAAGCCTACCAAATCGTCTCGATCGAAGAAACTTTCACGCCATGCAGAACCCCCTTCCAATCCCATGGCCCAGAAGAAACCGGAGAAATGGCAGATTCATAAACAAGCCCTGAAAGAGAAATTTAAAGAGGGATGGAACCCTCCAAAGAAGCTTTCTCCCGATGCGCTGGAGGGTATTCGGCACCTCCACGCGATCGCACCGGAAAAGTTTACTACACCGGTTCTTGCGGAAGAATTCAAGGTCTCACCGGAGGCTATTCGGCGGATATTGAAGAGCAAATGGAGGCCTTCTGAGACCGAAAACGAAGACCGACGGAAGAGATGGGAGAAGCGACATGATCGAATTTGGGGCCACTTATCGGAACTCGGCCTACGACCAAGTACGAAGCGCACCCGAGATCTGACAGACGCAAAGCAACTGCTCTATGGCAATAACCAGAAGAAAGGGGGAAAGGCTTAAGTAATGATGGACAGGCCTGTACTGGCAGTCACCATGTATAATTATCACGCGTACTATACGAGCTACCTATCTTGTTTATATTAAATAGCATAGAAGAGGCGTTGTGGATTGAATTTGTGGAGAAATTGCTTCTTTTCTTTGTTCTCCGAAAGCTTTCTCAAGTCCTCCGATCCGAGGTTGTATGGCCAGGAGTGCCGTCATTTGTAACATACAGTTTCACAAAAGTGAAAGTGATTTGCGGGGATAAAGGAATCCCTCAGCCGGAACTAGACAAATGGATATAGATCAACTTTGCTTTTCTCCGGACTGGAAGAAGATCCTAACCAGGAGTCCGACAGCATATCTATCATATGTCAAGGGGCACAGCTTCTCTACGTGGTTCGTCATGGGATTGCAATTCCCTCCCGTCGGCCGTAGTGCACCACCAACCACCACCAGCGCGTCCTCTCCCCGACAAGAACGTTATGGCACCCGCTCTGTGTCCTTCCTCCCTCCACATCCTCCAACGATTATGGCTTACACGATTTAATGGTATGCCCTAGCTGGCGTTGATTACCCTTTCTCTCAGTGTATCATATTTGCCAATCTTTTACTTCAAGCCCTCGTTCTGGTGGCGGCTGGTACCCGCCATCTACCCCGGACCTTCGTGATTCTTGTCTGCGGTCACCCGCCCACATGGTGGCCTTGCGATCGTCGCCATGCCCTCAGACATCCAGGTTTTCGTGAAATGGAAGGATCAAACGATATTCGCCGGGGAAGATGTGGAATGTATCATTACCTTCAAGAACGTTGCGGAGACGAACGGAGAACCCCGGAACGGGGGGCAGTCCTCGCATCAGAGACATCCATCGCGAGCTACCAGCTCACATTCAGAGTCACTGTTTTCGCTCAGGTCACCTCAGAAATTCTTCTTCAGTCCACACCGCCGCTCATACTCTAGTGTATCCAAGAAGAGCCCGCCGCATCGCCCGTCCTCATCAGTGAGCTCACCGTTGATCGGTTCTCACAGCTTTCCGCCCCCGTCCACCCCTCGCAGCGGTCCACCTGCTGGTGGAAAGCACAAACGCTCAGTATCTATTCTTTCTATTGATAGCGAAACAACAGGAGAGCCGACCCCCAGAACATCTTCACAGTTCAGTCGATCGAGGCCGGTTAGAAGCCATGGGCGCGCGGCGAGTCTACAGGTTCTTCCGAGGAGGAATGAGTTCTATGAGGATTCGTTGGCAAAAGGTACCTTCAATGAATGGCGCGATCGGGGATTGATCGATCATCAGGCTGACTACAGTCATTGCTAGCAGGACGCAACACGTACCGTGGCTTTCCACCCCCGGAGTCCCCGGTCACTTCGTCTCCTGGAAACCCACGAATAGACATCGATGATGTAGGAGGACCTACTTCCCAGCCCTCATTCGAATTACCTCGTACACCTGCGCGTCGGCCTCAATTGCCACCTATCGAGTTCAAGTTTCCACCTTCGCCGGGGACTGATACACAATCTCGCCCTACACTATCTCCTCTCGCAACACCCTTCGAAGAGGGTCCTGGACAGGCAAAGCCCAATGGAAGGGAATCGGCCACATTAGCTGCCCCGGGCCATCTGCCTCAACTCACCAGAATCATGTCGACCTCCAGCCTCACTGGTAGTCATAGAAGCAGCAATGAGTATAACTCTGTCAGCGACAATTCCTCAGAAACTCTGCAATCCGAGTACACCAACTACTCAATGGCGATGCCGCGCCAGAATATTCCTCGCCACGCGCGACACATGTCGAGTATTGAGTATCCGGGAGTAGTGCCCAAGAGCCAGACTCTACTCATGGGCTATGCCCAAATCAGTGCATCTTTTACTGTTGACGGTTCGCTGATTCATCAGTCACATTTCGAGGAAGTGAAGCGAAAAGGTGTTGTCGGTGGTGCAGGGTCTGCGCCGGGTATGAACAGCGGGAAACCGGCTATGAACAGCGATAAGAACCGCAAGGGGGGCGGTTTCTGGGGTGCGTTCAAATGGAATGCGATCGAAGAGTCTCTGAGCGGTTTGCTCTCCAATAATGAGTTGGATGGCCTACGAGATATGCGAGGAGTTACGTCTTCGAAGTCTATACCATTGCTGTCTACTACCCAGTCCCTTCTCTTCGTGGACCTACGACTGGCACCGGGAGAAGAGCAGTCTTACTCCTTTACATTTACCCTGCCATCGGGTCTTCCAGCCAGCCATAAGGGGAAAGCTATTAAGATCTCTTACAATCTCGTCATCGGTACACAGCGGCCGAGTGGCCATCATGAACCCCAACGGGTCAACCGTATCAGCATACCCTTCCGCGTGTTCAGCGGCGTCAATGGTGAGCTTGTCGTGGTTCCCCTGGTAGCGAACTGTCGCTAATCTCTTCAATAGGCCATGGCGAGATAATGGGTCACGACCTGATGAGCCCGTATGTACTCCTTCGCGACGAAGCGCGAGTACAGAAGGTTGGCCCTACCCCGCCGCCGGCAGCCAAGCCCAAAAGCATCAGTGGGCCGACGTGGACGTCAGCCCCAGACTTCTTGTCGTATGTGGATGACATCCTAGAGCAGAGTGCACGCCAGAATTCGCTGCAACCGCCCGAAGCAACGCCCGAGAAGCGCGCAAGTCGAGACACATCTACGGCGCACCTCACTTGCAAGGACGCTATTGATCTTGCCATTCTGCGAAGCAACCAGGCGCTCGGTTCCTCGCGCAGTCCTAACCGGTTTGAGATTGCCCGAGACGGGCGCCGAATTGCTGTTGTGGTACTCAACCGTCCGGCGCACAGGCTAGGCGAAACCATCATCGCCACCGTCAACTTTGCAGACGCGGCACTTCCCTGCTACGCCCTGCGGGCGACATTAGAAAGTTCAGAGAGGGTGGCAGGACACCTAGCCGTGCGATCAAACGCCAGCATCCGCCGTGCGACTCGAAAGATTCATGCCTCCTATTTCGAAAATACCCTGTATGCAACGCGCGTTGTTTTCAGTCCGGCTGTTCCGGTATCGGCGACGCCGACCGTCATAACCACTGGGGTAAATCATGAGTGGGAACTACGGTTCGAGTTTGTCACTAGCAGTATTCACGATGGTTCAGCCCCTTCGGGAGCGCGGTTGCTCGAAACCGTATCGGAAGACGATCGCGGGCGCATCATGTCCGCGTTAGAGAACTTGGGCTGCGAATCGTTCGAGATTTCCATTCCTATCACGATTTACGGAGAGACAGTCCGGGAGCGATTGCCCGAGGAGAATGAAGGATACTCTATATGAATCATGTCTGGGATAGCTTGGCGCATTCATCAACAAGCCACATCTATTGTTCCATCAGTCAGTCGCCTTCTGAATGGTTCACCGACCCGGCGGAGGGTTTTGTTCTGCTATGACGGCGAATACGACGGCCACAGCAGACTTGAAGACTCCTAGGTACCATCTAATATTTTTTTTTTTTTTTAACAATTCCAAGAAATTATGCCATCAAGCGGCAGCCTACCTACGTAATAAAATTGAAGAATATCAATATCCACTACAACCTTGACGATGTAATAAAGAGCCGGTTTCCTTGCGGCTGGCTGATGTCGCCGGGGCAACGGACGGGGCGATTGCCACCCTGGACGCTGCAGCACCCATGGATCCGGTCCTTGGGGGAGGTTCCGCTTGTGGGATCGTGGAGAAGGCAGGCCGGAAATGCGATCGATATAGATCGCCCTTCATCGCCCCTCCTTTGCAGTCGTGTGTGTGTTCCGTGTGCTTTGTTTTCATTTCCTGAGGTTGTTGTCGCGCCTGTCTGTACTTGGTCAGAGCGGCTCCATCGCTGATACTCTCCAACTTTCGCCTCCTACTACCCTCTTGTCCCTCGACTCATTCCGCCGGCCGGTCTATTGCTCCCCCCCTCGTCGGCGCGTGCTACTATTGTCCTGATTCAGGTATCCCTAAAGAGGTAAGACATTAAGACATGGAGAATCGCTTTTTCCCAGATTTTCTCACTGTTGAGCCCGTAAACGTGACTGACAGGCGCTGACTTGGTTGGCATCGGCATGCAGGCGCATTCTTCCAACGGAACTCTACACAACACCTCGTTTCGACCAAGAACACTGGAAAAGCGCCCGTGGCTTTGTATTTGACTGAAGGGAGGAACCAAAGGGAAAGAAAAAGAAATTCGCAAGGAGATGGCATCCTTCATCACAACCATGTCTGTCCCCATCCTTTCTGTTACTGCTTCGTCCGATGTTGGACAGCCTGCCCCGCCATCCTCATCTTCTCCCCAACCTTCGCTCCCCTCCTCTCCGTCCATCACCTCCCCTTCAGTCTGCTATGGCACTGTCCAGACTTCCCCTGGCCCCTTCTCTGAGCCCCCCTCATATCTATCCCCGGCAGTACGCGCCCTGAAATATGATCCCGCTGGACTGACACCTCCCAGCAACGCTCGGACCCGAGCTCCCTTCAAGCCGCGGTCGGCAGCCAAGGGCACCACTAGCTATCAACTGAGACAGTTCGCAGAAGCAACCCTGGGAAGTGGAAGCTTGCGGAAGGCCGTGAAGCTTCCAGAAGGCGAGGATTTAAACGAGTGGCTTGCAGTCAATGGTAAATATACTCTGGAGGCTTGCAGCAACAGTATCATCAAAGCCATGCTAACGGTTTGGTCCAACGTGCAACAGTGGTCGACTTCTACAACCAAATCAACTTGCTCTATGGCGCGATCACAGAATTCTGTTCTCCGCAATCATGTCCGGAAATGAAGGCAACTGATGAGTATGGAGCTATCCCCGATCCCTGGTCATGGCAATGCAGAGCTGACGATGGATATCCCAGATTCGAATATCTCTGGCAAGATTCGGAAAATTACAAGCGACCGACGAAGATGTCGGCCCCAGAATATATCGAACATCTGATGAGTTGGGTACAAAGCAGTATCGACAACGAACAGATTTTCCCCAGCAGGCTTGGTAAGTCGCATCTTGAGAGAGTGCCTTGAGGGCAGACTACGTAAAACTACGGATGCAGTGAGCAGGCGCTAATAGTATATGCACCCTCACAGGCGTCCCCTTCCCCAAGGTGTTCCCGAGCCTCGTGCGCCAGATCTTTAAGCGAATGTATCGCGTATATGCGCACATTTACTGCCACCACTACCCGGTTGTGGTCCATCTCGGACTGGAGCCTCATCTTAACACCAGCTTCAAGCATTACGTGCTCTTCATTGACGAGCACCGTCTGGCCAGCGGGAAGGATTTCTGGGGTCCGTTGGGAGATCTTGTGGATAGCATGCTGCGCAGTGACTAGAGATGAGATCGGTCGAAGGGCTAGACGACCATGAAGAAAGAGGTTGAGAGGATGGCGTTTCGGGTGTTGGCATTCGGGAGGGCGCATTTCACTCGTAGAGGCAGTCTGGCGTTACATAGCGTGTGCGACTGTATTTTGCATTTTGAAAACGAATAAAGGCATGAAGACTGGAGGATTGTTCCCAAATATAGCACCGCAATCACGATAAGATCTTCAAGAATCAAGTCACTCGCAGTAGTGGATAGCCGAAAACCCGGCGTGTGCGGGATCTCACGTGACCGCTAGCCGGCAGAAGTTGGACGTCGCCCGTCCATCCCAAAGCACGACGAACCACCAGCCCGTTGCTGCTCGCTCAATCCCCTCCCCGACGCCCCGTCCGTCTCGCATCTAATCTCTCCTCCTCTCCTCCTCGAGGTCTCCATCTCCAGATCACCATGTTCTCCGTTCGCGTCGCCCGTGCCGGCCTCCGTGCCACCGCCCAGCAGTTCTCCGTGCCTCGCACTGCCGCCGTCAACGGTCTGAGGACCTATGCCACCCCGGCCCAGGATGTCAAGCCTCCTGTCTCCCTGTTCGGTGTTGACGGCACCTATGCCACCGCTCTGGTATGCGATACCATGTTCCTACCCGTTGGTTGCTAGTCGTGGCTCTGAGGTTCCCTTGATTCAATGGCACGGAAGAAAGGAAGAAACATGAAAGAGGGGGAAAAGGCGGACGGGAGACCTAAGAAAACAAAAACAGAGATTCCTACGTTCTAGCAACCTCATGATCTCAGAACTGGACAACTTCAGGAAAGCTCCCTGGCTAACCGATCGTTTGCGTTTCTCTGTATAGTTCACTGCCTCTGCCAAGTCCGCCAGCCTCGACCAGACCTCCAAGGCTCTCGCCAGCCTCGGTCAGACCCTCAAGGCCGACCGCAAGCTGACCACCATCCTCTCCGCCCCTACCCTCACTGTCGCCGACAAGCAGCAGATCGTCCAGGAGCTGCAGAAGGTTGCCGGTGCCGACAAGGGCGACATCCTCAAGAACTTCCTCGCTACTCTGGCTGAGAACAACCGTCTCGGTCTCCTCGAGGGTATCTGCGACAAGTTCTCCACCCTCATGGGTGCTCACCGTGGTGAGATTGAGCTGAACATCACCAGTGCTCAGGTACCTTCTTCTTTCGGGCTTTTATATTGTGGGGCTTTATACTGATTGTTGGGAAACAGGAGCTCGACACCAAGACTGTCAACCGTCTCGAGAAGGCCGTTTCCAAGTCCGAGTTCAGCCAGGGCAAGAAGCTTAAGGTTGTCACCAAGGTACATTATCCATCATATCCCGATTTACGCTATGTATACTCATATGTTGAAAACAGGTCGACCCCGAGCTTGTCGGCGGCCTGGTTGTTGAGATCGGTGACCGCACCATCGACCTCAGCGTCTCCTCCAAGATTGCCAAGCTCAACAAGGCTCTCACCGACGCTTTGTAAATTACCTAAAGAATCCACCTAAAACACGAGAGGGATGCACATGTTCACATTAGGCGTCTCTTGAGCTTCCATATTTAGTTTATATCAACTCCCTGTACCCCTACCGAATCGATCTACCTCATTCATCCTCTATATTTCTTGCTAGCATGAGCTCTAGTTCTGGAGTCGAATAGACAGATTTAAGTTTTATATCACCCATTTTGGCAGAATAATGTGCGGGTTCTCACTAGTAGTTCGACAGCTGAATAATATTTTGTAAAGTACTGTACTATCTAATTAACATTTAAAATATCCGACCAATGAGTAATTTATGCAGCAGCTACGAAAAAAAAAAGCGCATTGAAGGGAGATTCAGTTTGGTTGTGTTCGGGGCCCGCGGGCAACTGGGGACACGGCACGGGACGATCGACGCGGCATCCTAACTTATGAAACAAGTGTCCTCCCTTCAGATGTCCTTTCTTCCTCTCCTCGTCCCCAGTCCCCCAACCAAGATAACCCGTGACCAGGGTATCAATTGACCATGACGACCAAATCTAAAGATGTCGAGCTGTCCGACGACATCCAATGGATCGAAACTCCCGCCCAGGCTCCTCCCAAGTTTGAAACCGGCGAGAGCTGTGGAATCGCCCTGACCAATGTCAGTCAATTCCTCCCTTCCCATTGCTGGCGTATTGCCAGGCTGTCCAAAACCGTTGCTGACTTCTTCTCAAAGGCCAAAAGCATCAACAATCCTCCCCTGCCAGCAGATGGTCCTGGAAATGAGAGCTTCTCCAACCTCCTGTTGGGCGGCGCCATCATCGGAGTCCCCGGGCTTCTGACCTACCTGCTCGGTGGTGGAAAGAAAACCTTCATTTTCTTCACTCTCGTAACCGTTCTCCCTGTTCTCGTGGCCTTCTGGACCTACACCTCGACCTTCAGCCCCCGCACCAACGAGAAAGTCAAGCTCCCCGGCCGCCCCGTTGAGCACTACATTACCTTCAAGCGCGACGAAGACCGTGCGAAATGGAGCGGACGCAACAAGATCCCCATGCAGACCTTTTCGGAAATGTACCTGGACGGCCTGGTTGACTTCAATGGCGATGTGCTCGAGATCCTGGAATACCGCCACGACTGGGCCAGCTTCGCCTTCACCTTGGACCTGTTCAAGTTCATCGTCGGCACCTTCTTCGTCGATGTGCTCTTCCACACCAAGGCCCAGGATGAGGAACAAATCCGTCCCAACTACGACCGGGGTAACGACCACTACGCCTGGTTCCTTGGCCCTCGCATGATCTACACCTCTGGAATCATCTCCGACCCCGATCGTGAAGAAACCCTTGAGGAACTGCAGGATAACAAGATGGCCGTTGTTTGCGAGAAGATCGGCCTCAAGGAAGGCGAGACCATGCTGGACATTGGCTGCGGCTGGGGTACCCTTGCCAAGTTCGCCAGTCTTAACTACGGCGCAAAGGTGACCGGTCTCACCATTGCTGAGAACCAGACTGCCTGGGGTAACGATGCTCTCCGCAAGGCCGGCGTCTCCGAGGAACAGAGCCGCATTGTCTGCATGGATTACCGTGACATCCCCCGCACGAAGTACGACAAGATCACTCAGCTGGAAATGGGTGAGCACGTCGGTATTCGCAAGCTTACTGGATTCTTCCGCCAGTGCTATGACATGCTTAACGATGATGGATGCATGTATGTGCAGCTTTCGGGTCTGAGACAGGCTTGGCAGTATGAGGATTTCATCTGGGGTCTGTATCTGAACAAGTACATCTTCCGTGGTGCCGACGCTTCCACTCCCCTCTGGTACTACGTGAAGTGCCTTGAAGGAGCTGGCTTCGAAGTCAAGGGGTAAGCCACCATTCCTACCCCGCGGTCCTCCAAACAAACAAACACTAACATCAACTCTGTGATTAGTATCGACACCGTCGGCGTCCACTACTCGGGCACCCTTTGGAGATGGTACCGCAACTGGGTCGGCAACATCGAGGCCATCAAGGCCAAGTACGGTCCCAGATGGTACAGGGTGCGTATACCCTTCCCCTCCACTTCTTAAATCTCAACACATCTAACCACCCCATTTCTCAACTATAATAGATCTGGGAACTCTTCCTCGCCTGGTCCGTCATCGCCTCCCGCCAAGGCTCCGCAACCTGCTACCAAATGGTGGTGGTCAAGAACCTGAACTCGACGCACCGTATCAGCGGATTGGCCAGCCAGTTCGGTCTTATGGGTGCTCTCGCTAAGAGCCGGGAGGCGGGCAAGTCCCGTCTGCCTTAAAGACTTGATTTAAATCGTCTCTGTGAGATGATCATCATCATCATCATCAATTGATATGCAACTGGATTGGACGGATACGTAATGTTACGTTATGTATGAAATATGTTCATGAAATATGAGGTGGATGGTGGACAGATGGTGCTTTTGGATATGATGTGATAGAAAGATATGATTTATGCACTATGACCTATCATTTCCAGGGAGTTTCGCAGCGCTAATCAGTTACTTACTGGATGTGGTTGGCGTCTGCTATATTGGGGGGGGGGGGGGGGGTATGTATTAGGAATATGGGAAGAAAGATTTGTTTATGATTAGATAGATATGTTAGATGAAATGGATTGAATTCTGGTAGAGACAGGATTTGGTTAAGGATGCTGCTGTCTTGAAGATCTGGTAGAGTAGTAATAATAGTAGATTCATGCTAGTGGCACGGTGGGAATAATTATTCCTTCGTCGATACGTACTGTCTACTAGTAGTAGTATAGATGGATCCTTCCTTCATGATAGTTCAAGTTAATCTGGGGTTTTTTTCTGCGAATTAGGTACTAGTTCGGGAGTTTCACTCATCGCGAGTTCAAGTTGGAACGACCAGTGAGTTGAAACGATACCACTGCATGACAGTTACTAACGGTCTGCTACTGATAATTAGTTGTGTTTATCACTTCTCAGTATCTTGGATAATATGTTTTCAAAACTGGGACACCCAGTCATGATGGCAGTAGACACTGGGTGACTAGCATACAATGTTGTCAAGTTTCAACGAATATATAATCATCTACATCGTCTACAACCTATGTATCCACAACCATTACTAACATGGAACCTTATCATCGCGCTATAGAATCTGCTATGCAATTCTCCCTCCTCTAGTGTGTCGCTCAATGTCCATTCGGGACTCGATCAGCCTGTGCTTCAAACTCGTCCTCATACGCTCCCATCGATGCCCGACTGCGCACACGTTCCAGCTGACTCTCCACGTACTGCGACACATGTTCGTCATCTCCAAATCCCAGTCCCGACTCGCCGAGTTTCTCATCATCATCCAAAGCGGATTCTGGCCCAGGTGTGCTACGACCCGTGAAAGCAGACTCAAAGTCACTGCGGTTTCCGATTGACCGGCTGGTGGATGAGCGGCGCACGCTGGGGCGACGGCTCCCGCGTGGTCGCACTGTCCGCGAAAAGGTGTCGTCAAAGTAGTGTGATGCTGCTGCAAATGGCGAGCGAGGGGTCTGTGGGACCCGGCAGTTGATTCTGTTGAGTTGGTTAGAGTTATTATAAATAAAGGGACATTGATTAGCGTCGCATAGCTTACCCCGTATCGTGGATGATCTTAGCAATCAACCCGGTCCATCCACACTGGTGAGATGCTCCCAGACCCCGACCAGTGTCTCCGTCGAAGTACTCATGGAACCACATGTAGTCTTTCCAGTGCTCATTGAAGTCGAGAAGGTCGGAGCCATCGTAGACGGCACGACGTCCTTCGTCGTTGCGCGCGAACAAGTGCTGTAACCGGTGCTGGATCTCCTCCGCCACATGTCCCAGATGCATATATTCTCCGGAGCCTGTGGGACACTCCACCTTGAATGAATCGCCATAGAACATGTAGAATCGTAGCAGAGACTCGACGAGTAGGAAATTGACACACAACCAGACCGGTCCCCGCCAGTTGCTGTTACCCCCAAAGAGAGCGCTGTCCGACTCACCAGGAACATAGCTGACCCGGAACATCTGGCCGTTCACCTCCATCGAGTAAGGATGTTCCTCATGGTGCTTGGACATGGATCGAATGCCGTGCTCTGAAAGGAATTCCGTCTCATCCAGCATCCTTTTGAGGATCAGCTCCAGACGGCTCTTGCTCACGAGGGACAGGAGGAGCCGCTCATCCTTGCCACGGTGTTTCATGCTGGCGATATTGCGCTCTGCCACGTCTTGCCGGTTCTCAACAAACCACTCCAATCGCTTCTTGAAGGAGGGGAACTTGTTGATCAACTCGGGCTCGAGGGTGAGAACAGCGTACAGAGGGATCAGGCCAACGAGGGACCGGACGGGAAGCTGTTGTGTCCAAGGATCACCATAGGAGATTGCGTCGTAGTAAAATCTACCCAAAGTAAGCAATTGATAGATATATAAGTACAGGTAGACACGGCTTACCCATCATCCTCATTCCAAAGGGACGTCTCCTGCCCTCCGGACTTGAATGTCATGGCATCACTGATCAAAATGAAATGCTCGAAAAACTTAGATGCAACTGTGCGTCATTTGTTAGCCGATGAAAGTCTTAAAATATAGTATGCTTACTGTCTTCGTAGATCCGCCGGTGCTTGGCGAGTTCGAGGGCGATATTCAGCATGCACAGGCAGTAGAATGCCATCCAGCCTGTACTATCAGCCTGCTCGAGGACTCCCCCGGTAGGAAGAGGCTCCGATCTGTTGAATAGCCCAATATTATCCAGGCCCAGGAAGCCACCCTCAAAGACATTTTTACCCTCAGAGTCCTTGCGGTTGACCCACCATGTAAAATTGAGCAACAACTTCTGGAAGACTCGTTCCAGGAAATCAAGATCCTGCCGGCCATACATCTTCCGCTCGATCTTGAATGTCCGGAACGTGGCCCACGCGTGGACCGGTGGGTTCACATCACCAAAGTTCCATTCGTACGCTGAGAGCTGCCCGTTCGGATGCATGTACCATTCCCGGGTGAGAAGGTCCAGCTGTTTCTTCGCAAAATCAGGGTCTATCATGGCCAGCGGGATGCAATGGAAAGCCGTATCCCATGCACAGAAAAATGGATACTCCCAAGAATCAGGCATTGAGAGAATGTCTTCCATGTACAAGTGCTTCCACTGTTGGTTACGGACATGCTTCCTACCCGGCGGAGGTGGAATGAGACCGGGGTCACCATTTGACCACTGATCCCACACGAAATGATAAAATTGTTTATTCCACAACATGCCAGAAAATGCCTGTCGCTGAATGTTGCGTAGATCATCGCTCATGGGAAGCGGGCTGATGTGGTAATAGAAGTCGTCTGCCTCGGCCCTGCGTTCATCGATGACATTATCGAGGACCTCTTCATCCAGGAATGTACCCCTTTTCCGCGAAAATTTGAATCGAACGACAGCGCATTCTCCAGGAGGAATTCCTTCACCCTCATTGAAGGCGTACCAGGCACCGAACTTGGTACCCTTGTTCGCAGGGTTGACTGTGTCCTTTTCTCCATTGACAATGAGGCGATGGAAGGCGTCCTTCACGTATGGCTGACTGTTCTTGGTGTTCCACAACAGCTCGTTATTCGTCTCGTTCTCTGTGAACATCATTTGAGGGAATACATCGTCCTGACCGTCACCAACAGGCGGCGAGGGGGCGAACTGCACATATCGCTCCCCAAGTTTATGATGAGATGTTTTGGCTATCATGGGATGCACCTGTTCGACAGATGGTTTCTCTTTCTGATCTTCATAGCCCCAGGACCAGGTGTTACGGAACCAAACATGAGGGATGATGTGTAACGGGGCAGGCTCTGGTCCTCGGTTGTAGGCAATGATGCGGAAGAGCAGTTCTTCCTCATCGTCTTCTTCTTTCGCTGTTTCGATGAAGATGTCCCAGTATCGGTTGTCGTCGAAGATTCCAGTATCAAGGATTTGATACTCGCGGTCTTGCCTTGAGCGTTTGCCATTCTCTTCCACGAGTTCCTTGTACGGAAACTTCTTCTGGGGATACTTGTAGAGGTATTTCATGTAGGAATGCTGAGAGCGCAATGGAGTCAGAAGGGCCGTGGGATCCGTCCACCTTGGAGAATTGAAGCACAAACCGTCGGAGTATTATCAACGTGGAAATGAGCTTCCTTGATGCTTTCACCATGGTTACCTTGAGGATTCGACAACCCGAATAGGCGCTCCTTCAGAAAGTCGCTAGATCAGGGTGAGCTTGAGATTCAATTCAGTCGTAACGGGGTAGACCCAACATACTCTTTCTCGTTCCAGAATGCAAAGGCAATGTTCTGCAGGTTGTGGGTATCTGAGACACCGGCAATCCCGTCCTCACCCCAGCGGAAGGTCCTAGACCGCGCATGATCATGAGAGAAGTCTAGACATCACTTGATCAGCCCTGGCCGCGCGGCACACATGTAAATTGAGGGACTTACAGCTCCAAGCATCTCCATTCTCCCTGATAATTGATGAAACAGAAGAATCAGTAAGTGTCGCTTGCTTTCTAGTCCCGACACCGAATGAGTGTGGAGGAATTAAAGACTTACGAGTAATCCTCGCGAACTGCGGGGCATCAAGGATGGTCATTAGTCCAGGTACTTTCCAGCGCGATTTGGATGAGACAGGTAGTAGAGAAGCATACCAGTAGCCCATTGCCTCTCTGCCACATACGGCCCCCATCGTTTCCAGTACCGCGAGTGTTCACGGTCCTCTCTCAGACGACGTTCTTCTTGGGATACGTACTCGTGCTTATCAATGAGCACCATGATTGGGATTAAGGTATGCTGAGTAGTTCAAGTGGATGAAGAAGAAGACCAGCTCCAAAAAAACAATTGCGCGGAAGAAAGAACAATGAAGGAATTAAGGAGTCCGAGATATGGAGGGGACGAGAAAACGTAAGAAAAAGCCTGATAAGAGACGAAGGGGAAGAGCAGGGCCGGGATGAGGGGTTGGGGAAAGGCGCAAGAGAGGAACAGGGAATGACCGGGAGCTCAGGGACCAGTGGCTGACATGGTAGGTCGCACCGACGCAGCTCCTGCAGGACACTTCACAGTTCAGAGCTCAGTTATCTATCGTTTGGGGGGGTCTGGACCGTTGCTCGGGCGCTTTCTGTCTGGGGGGAGTTCCAAGGTCCGGGGATGATTCTGACATCATTGGTCCTACCCGAGGAGATCATGAGTGAAGCTGGTTGATAATGCAATTTGGGTTTTCATTTCCACTCGGGGCTGATGTTGATAAAATATGAGAGGATACATTCGATTTAAAGTGGTATATAAGAAATTGTGAGAACGATTCAAAATAGCATTCTGTCTTGTTGATGTTTCATTCTTCTGATTCAAGTTCTTCTGCTGCTGCGCTCAGATACTCTTTTCCGTTGCCACCTCAAGACTCAGGCCACTATACCCGGCCGCCCTGCAAACCCAACGGATACCATACATACTATACTGTACAGTACGAGTTTGGTATCACCATGATGCAGGCCCGGCATCGCCATATTCGGCTAGCAGATCAGATGACAGGCCAGCATCCATTACAAATGTCGTGCTTCGCCGGACTTTGGCTTGCAGATGCTGATGGTGAAACCATAACATGTCCTGCAGCCCACCCGCCTCACTAAAGTCAAGTTTGTTGACAATATCTTAATATCAGGACAGGCAGATGTCAATGTGGTGACACTCACGCCAAGACGACGGGAATGTTTGCTGGCAGCCATGTTCGCAGCAGATCATCCAAGTAGTCCTCTCATACATCTGATACCCATCGCTAGTACCTAGTCACGTCTATACAATGGGAAAGCAGACTAGGCCCTCCCCTCGGAAATTCTTCCGTTGGGAGACAAGAGACGTACAGTCTTCGCTGAATCGACCGCGCTCCTCTTCTTTAGGTAGACGCGTCATATTGGAGGTCCGAGCAGCGAGGACAACCTGCAGACTTCATTCTTGGGTACAGAGAAACGTGATGTAGACGATGGCCTGTAGGCGTGAAGGTATACCCGGACGCTCCTCGACAACAGATGGAGGTGCATTGTATGTTTACCTCTTTTCTTGTATCGCTCGAGGAGAAGAAATCGGTACAAGTACAAGTGGCGGCATTGCTGGTAGCAGAGGATGTTTTGCAGTCCGAATAGGAACAATTCCTTCAATAGTCCAAGGGAAGGGGCAAACGCTGTTGGCGGATGGCCCGCGATAGGGCAAGAATAATCCTCCGCTAGTGGCATTAACGTGGCCTGAGTTAACGACCCCACCTTCATGCTCGCCTCAAGTACAATATTGACAAGATGATGTGCGCTTTGCAGCCACACGTTGTCGGCCCAATTCGTGATGCGGTCTGCATCAGGCCAGTGGGAAGCTTTCATCTTGCAGCGATGCGACCGCATCGGCTTTCATTGACTGATAACAGATTCTATATCGCATACAGCTGTCCTATATTGGCACCGGATATGCTGCACTGTGCATGGAAACCTGCGCGTATTTCGGCACGCTATCGGGTTTGATCTATTGACCACCCCTCACCCGTCTGATATAGGTGTGCAAAGAATGAGGTTCAAACATGACACCCTAATGTAACCGCATTACGTGGCCGACATGGATGCCGGCCTTTCGCTTTCGCTATATTGAGACACAAAAGCCAGAAATTTGAAGACCAAATAAATGCCAACATATTGACTGTGTAAACAATATTTAACGCCAAATTTGACTGGACGACAAGCTCGACTGTCTCTCCGAAACTTTCGAAGATTGGGATGGCCCGCACAGGGGCGGATGTGGTCACCGCCCAATACATCAGGGGAGGGAGCGACAAGTGAGCCGCGCCGGCGTTGTTTTCCCTCCCAGCCTTGATCGGCGTGGACGTGGTGGAGGGAAGCAATGACGGAGCGTCCAAGCCAACAGAACCGATTTCTCCAAACATGCCCGCCAAATGAGGATATATAAAAGATGAAAGCAGTGAAGTCGAATCCGTAATCTCCCATCCCAAACCTTGACCCAAATTATATGCAGATAATAACCGACCCCGGCCCGTCAAAGGCAGTCATGAGTTGCGGCCCTGACCACGCTGTTGTTCGTCGCCGCTGGAGTATTGGCCGGCGGAATCTGTAGGGGATGTCGATGCCGAGGTGGATGCTGCAACCAAGCGCTGTCAGCAACAATGACGACCGTGGCAGATGTTGTCCAGCTGGGAATTCTCACCTGACTGGTAGAACCGGTCCCCTCGTTGCGCCGAAGGAGACCTTGTATTGTTTCCGTCGAGGACCAAAGACTGTCGGGCTTTGAGGCGTTCCTCAGCTTCCCGGATTCTAGCCTGAAGCTGTTCTAATTCTCGCTCCTGAATCATCATTTGGTGTCTCCTATGGTTGACAGGCTCGTCAGTCTCGCCGCATCAACACAAGCTTAGAAGCGAGACAAGATCGCAAATCATCAACAACCCAAGTGGAACCTACTTTTGATCGATGGTCTGTGAAAGGTGATTGACATCGGAATCAAGCGAAAAGGCGCTATCCAGCGCGGATGAGAAGGCTTGTGCCATGGTCCTGCCACGACTTGGTCAACACCAACGTTGGGGAGAGAAGGTCGCAAGAGAGGAGAACGAACGACTGTGGACGGTTCTTGGGCTTCCATTCTTGATCGATGTCCGACATTTTGTTTAGTGGTTGTCAAGGGCGTTGGTTACGGAGCACTGGTATGGAGGATCGAAGCGAAAGGGGGGTAAGATGAATGCGAGAAGGTTAGGAAGGGGGGGGAAAAGGAGTATGTGAAATGAAGTCCAAGACGTGGGAAGGAGTTTAGAAGCGCGCGCGTCAAGAACGGAACAGGGGGTTATTAAGTGGATATGATAGCACGGACGGGGTGGACCAGGCGCTCAGAGTATTCTGGAGTGGACAAGGCGAGGAAGAAAAATCACCGAAGATTCGAAGAAATTGATTATAATATAGAAGCTTTGATGACGGAGACCATGACCGGCCGGGATCTAAGTAATAACTATAAAAGGGGGCAGCGAGGACTTGAGCGATGGCTGGAGGGGAAAATCGGCGAAATTGCGGACGCCGTCGCACTACTGGAGACCGGGCAGGTAGGGAGGGGACCACTTTTGGGTTATTGAGTCCGATGGGGATGGATGGATAATGACAGGGGCTGCACGATCGGCGGGGATGACGATGGCAAGCGCTGGGGGGAAAGATGGAGGTGGGATGCAGGGCTGTCCGCGGCTTTAGATTCGTCGCAGGTAAAGAAGCAGCCGTAGAAAGGCGATGGAAGCGATGGCGAAGAAAGTAGGAGAGGATGGAAGAATAGACGAAGGGTGCTGGGTGTCAGGTCTGTGTCAAAGAATAGTCAATTTAGGTAAGTAGAAACTCATCCATGGGTGGTTCGGGTGCTCCATGATTGCCTTTGGGAGTAAATAGTGCAGCTCCATCCTCCTCACTAGTTGGGCGGTAGTGGAATTGCATCGTCCACTCTGCCTGGAAGGTGCCCCTGAATCCCGTCCCATCCTTCCATGACGGAGCCGCAACCAATGGGAAATTATACTGTCACGTGAGAGCGGATCTGCCCCTGTTTTGAGTCTTTGTGAGGCCACTCACCATGACTGCCTTGCTGCCACCCCCCCGCCCCTCTTTATTGCCACCCGGCCACTCGCTGCTTTCCTATTGCAGATCCCAGTGCCATCAATCTATACACCTTGTTGCACGACGCCGTTTTTAATTTTATCTTCTGAAACATTGCAACTACGGTGGCCATACTATGCTATCTCCTCACGGGGCCTTCCCACACGGGCTTATGGACTGTCAGTATCAACGTCCGCGTCTTTCTATGCATGCCTTTTAAATCACATCCTGATCGTGATCGGCCTTTGAAGAGTTGCTTTTTCCTTGGATGTGCCCATTAGAGATACTCGCATAGGTAGTGACTAACAAAGACTGCCAAAGAGACCAATTATGGTACACCACTCCAGCTATTGATATTTACATGTCAAATTCCTAGCAAAGCAAGCTCCAGAAGATCGCAACCTTACCGTTTAGCCCATCGCGATTATGCATGTCACTTACGAGAGCGGCCACTAATGCGGTGATCCCTATTATTCTTCCCTCTCAGCTTGGTTCTGCTTGCCAGAAATAGAATAGGACTCGGCTTGTACGCGGGGTTCGAGTCAGCTCAATTGCAAGTATGAATGAACTAGCTCCTATTTTGCCTTCCAGGAAGGGTTTGGCGTTTCAGGCACCGATGCTCAGTTTGGGATATTACATTGATCTGTATTTGATCTGTCTATAGGCCTGGTCCAGAGTAGAGTATTTATAACTGGGACGATCGGTTTACATATCACAAATGTGCTGCAAGACGTCCGTGTGTACCTGCATATACTATTTTCGGATTGCACAACATTCTTCCTCACCCAGTTCATCGAGCTGACTATGAGCTGCCTTATAATATAGAACTTACTACGGAGCACTCAGAAATCATCGCATCATGACCTTGCTCGGAAGATAGACTCCTCTCGCCCTGTTAGTCACAGGATCAAGAAGAGAAACTCGGCAAGAAGCCGTTAATCCAATCCAGTAGGGCAGCAGCTACATATCTGGAAGTTGGAAAAATTCTGGTGATCTGTTTCATAGCCTGCTGAATCTGTGACCAACATCATGGTTACTAGATTAGGTGACGAGTAAGTCTTATCAAAATGCCGCACGCTGCGTGGATCCGACGGTAAATCCCGAGGGATGCAACAAAAGAGGGTCTCTAACACATCAAGCTAAGTCCGGGTGGGAGGTAAGATTGATCATGTATAGCTGATCGTGAAGCCAATCTAATATCAATGACGACCGGCCATTCTATTGTACTCTCCGTTCATACTTTGTCAAGACGAAGGGTCAAAGGTATCATGTATATTCATTCTATCTGATCTCAAGAGGTTGAGTGGTAATTGAAAGAGGTGGGGGGAGACTACGCAGGAAGAAGAGGCGAAGGATCAGCTGACAGCTGCCTGGCTGCAGTGGATGTCCCATCATACTCTTCGTTTCTGCACGGTAGGCTTCATTCTCAGTGTAGCCATGATTGAGGTGTTTCTTTTGGTCATAAGGTATGGTTTCTCGCTCATCTGCGTTGTATGCGTTGCCGCACACCAAGGCCTCGGGAATGTATGATACGGACGGCATGCCGGGGAGCAGCTCCGCTTATAGCTTGCCGATATAATCGCGGTATGTGTGGCTGGTTTATGTTGGGATAAATCCTTCTCATCGGTCTAGGTTGAGAGAAGCTAGCTTAACCATGGAATTAACATCTTATCGGACATAACGGACGAGTAGCTCCGAGTGTGTCGGAGGTGGCAGCTCATGCCCCGCTATTTATCCCCTTCCCCTCATCCCTTCGGTCAGCGTTACTGTGATTTTCCACCGCTCAATATTCCAAGATAAAATCAGCCTACAGCATAAATTGTCGATAAGCAATCATGGCATCCCTCCCTGCCGGAAGCTGCTGTTACCAAGGCGTCAAGCACGAAGGTGAAGCCAAGGGTAGCTTCTCGCAGCTCAATGATTTCGAGATCTACACCAGCTCTCCTGCTGACAAGTCCACCGAGAATGGTATCTTGGTGTATGTCCTGCCTTTAGCAATGCCCCAAAAAGACCAAGCTAACGAAAGGAAGCATCACGGATGTGATCGGTCACCGCTTCATCAACGCCCAGCTCATTGCCGACCAGTTTGCCGCTAATGGCTACTTCGTTATGATGCCTGACCTCTTCGATAACGACGCCATCCCGCTCAACCGTCCTGACGGCTTTGATATCATGGCATGGAAGGGTGGCGCATACCACAAGGACAAGAAGCCCCATACTCCCGAGGTCGTCGATCCTATCATCGAGGCATGCATCAAGGAGATGAGGACTAAGTATGGATGCAAGGTATGACTCCCACTAGCGGGCTGAAGTGACTATGAAAGGGATTAACATCTATCAGAAAATCGGTGCCGTGGGTTACTGCTTCGGTGGCAAGTACGTTGTGCGCCATCTCCGCCCCGGCCAGATCGATGCTGGATACACCGCCCACCCTTCCTTCGTCGAGTCGGAGGAGTTGAAGGCCATCAAGGGCCCCCTGGCTATTGCTGCTGCAGAGACTGATGCAATTTTCCCCGCTGAGAAGCGCCATGAATCCGAAGAGATCCTGAAGGACTCGGGTCTCCCTTACCAGATCAACCTCTACAGCGGCGTTGCGCACGGCTTTGCTGTCCGTGGAGACCCTGCCAACCGCACGGTGCAGTATGCTAAGGAGAATGCTTTCTTGCAGGCTGTTCAGTGGTTCAAGGAGCACTTGTAATGATGTGACTTTTGTCTAAAATAACCTACCTAAAATGGGAGATATGATTACTTCAATGGAAATAGGCTATATGGCCCATTATATCAAAAATGTCCGACCTTCTCAATTTATGTCAATCATTTATATTTGAAAAGATATGTGACTCATCACTATCATGGAACACTGAAGCTCGAAGATCGCTTTCGCGTTAAATCCCCAATCTCAGGTAAGACAGAACCAGGAAATTCTCCACATCCAGCTCACGATACTTACCGCATAGCTTGACTTTGAATTAACCTCTCCAGAGTACTATTCTCGGTTCCTTATATTTACAAGTATAGTTCCACGATTTATGAGTTATAGTAAGGCCAATATTACGCAGAAAGCATAGAAAGCGTAGACGCTAGCATCTAATCCACCAATGGGGGCTGTGAACGGGAGCATGTCAATGACAGGGCGTCGCTGACATGGCCCAAGCGCAGTTCCTCATAGTTGATCAATATAAGACAGGTTTTCCCTTTTCCGATTATATCAATTTTTGAGGATGGGGGATAGGAAGTATTATACAGAGATAACTCGTTCCATCCGGTTACCCAGACTACATACTATCTGCATTTATGCATGCCGTCTAATCATACTATGATATAGACACTCGCTCTTCTTATTCGCTTTTAATTGCCTTCTATCTTTTTTTTCATAATCCATCATGGTCAGACTATCAGACCGGGAAGATTTTCCTAATGAGAAACCCCATGATCCAATAAACCAGTCTTCTGCCTCTCTCCCACCCATCGACCACGGAAAGGATGCCTGGTTCTTCCTCGCCGCGTGCTTTGTCATGGAAGCCCTAGTTTGGGGGTTCGCCTTCACCTACGGTGTCTTTCAAGACTACTACAGCACACTCCCCATGTTCCAAAACTCCAACAACATCGCCATCATCGGAACATGCGCAATGGTAAGTCGGCCTTTCTATCCCTCTCCTACCCCCAAATTAACTCAAAAACCCCCAAAACAGGGAATAATGTACCTCGACCTCCCCATAATCTTCACCCTCTACCGCACTTACCCTCACTACCAACGTCTGGGCTGCGCCCTCGGCGTCCTAACAATGTGTCTCTCACTGGGCCTCTCCTCCCTCTCCACAACCACCACCCACCTGATCATCTCCCAAGGCATCTTCTACGCCATCGGCGGAAGCATCGCCTACTCACCCTGCATTCTCCTAATGGAAGACTGGTTTGATCAACGCCGGGGCTTCGCCTTCGGCGTCATGTGGGCCGGCACCGGCCTAGGCGGCGCGATACTCCCCATCGTCATGGAGACGCTTCTCGATCGATACGGATTTCGGATAGCGCTGAGAGGGTTCGCAGTGGTGCTGTTCGTGCTCACAGCCCCGTTGGTATGGTTCGTTAAGCCTAGAGTGTCGCCTGCAGTGCGGAATAGTACCGACCCAGCACAACAACAATACCATCCACCACGACCACGGCTCAAGGAGATCCGGTTTCTCTGGACATCAGGAACATTCCTCCTCTTCGAGCTATTCAACATGGTCGAGGCAGTGGGGTACTTCCTCCCGTCTATCTATCTACCTTCATATGCAAGAGTCATCGGCGTCTCGTCTGGCAGTTTGGAAGCTCTCACGTTGATATTATTTAACGTTGCGTCCGTGGTAGGGTGCGTAGTCATGGGGGCTATTATCGACCGGTGGGACGTGACGACCTGCATTCTGGTCTCGACTGTGGGTTCGACCGTGGGAGTGTTTCTGATCTGGGGGTTTAGTGTTTCAATAGCCCCATTGTTTGTATTTGCTATCGTGTATGGGCTTTTTGCGGGCTCGTATACGAGTACTTGGCCGGGCATTATGAAGGAGGTGGTCAGGAAGGATGGTGCCGCTGAATCGAGTATGGTGTTTGCTTGCTTGGCGGCTGGTAGGGGCGTTGGGAATATTGTCTCCGGACCGTTGAGTGAGGCGTTGCTGGAGGGGATGCCGTGGACTGGGGAGTTGGGGTTCGGGTTTGGGTCTGGGTATGGTAGTTTGATCGTTTTTACGGGCGTGACGGGGTTGGTGGGGGGTGGGAGTTGGGTTGTTAGGAGGGTCGGGTGGTTGTGATTGCTATGTAGGGAAGATCGGTAGGGATAAAATTATTCATGTCTTTTTTTCATGTGATGGATTGCTGGTTGTCATTGTATAGCGTCAGCTGGTCTGTCGCTGTACGTCTCCTACTAGATTAGATGGTCAGCCTTATTTGGTACAGGGCCATTTCCACATGTCATAACGCCAACAATCTGGAGTTGACAATCAACCACTTTTGTCCTTGAATAATATATACACAATCAGATTCAAGCAAATTCAACTAGTAGCCAACTGGTCATTTTACTGTTGTGGCTGACCTACTAGCAGGTATTACTACGGACCCTTCCACCCTAATGTCAGCCCGATTCCTGATATAGTTAACAGCTACTCTGTACTAGCTTCTCCATCTTGCGCAGGGAACCTCAGCCCGTACTTCAACCCAACACCAGAAAACAAGGCCGAAAAAGCCACAAAAGTTGTCATTACTTCGAGTCAGAAATGGGTTCGTCAGAGACATACTACCTCCCCACCGAGATCCTTCGCCAGATCATCCAGCACCTCCTACCTCAACTGTACTTGCCGGAGTGGTTGCGTGCGAGAAAAGTGAATAGTGCGTGACGGCCACCCAGTAATTCTCCCAGGAGCATCAAATCTGACAGAATAGCAGGCCTGTTTAACGAAGAGATCATCAACTATCTTATAAATGGCGAGGATCTGGAAGAGTTATTTACTTTCTTGACTAAAGAGAAACTGGACTCATCACCATGGGGTACTTTCCCTGATCGACTGAAACGGCTTTACCTGCAGCGAAAGTTACGAGAGCATTCGCACAGACCATGTGCTTTTACGTATTTCGTGCAGGAGGTGATAGAGTACCAGTTGGGGGATGCTCCTGCGTTGGAGGACAAGGATAAATTGACCGAGGGGTTGATTGATGTGGCGATAGCGGGGAACAATGATCCATCAAGCATGTTCCATCGCCTGGTATGTCAGTGGTGGATTGATGAAGTGGACAACAGGTTCAATGAACCGATTGAAAAGTCGATGCCGATTATCTTGGCCTGTATGGCCATCTTACGGGGGGACTGTGCAGAACTGAGCACAGCACAGCGGAACGGTTTAGATCCAGAGCAGCCATGTCTACGATTTGGGGTCATCCCGATAAGTGTCGCAGCTCAAAGAGGAAACAGAGAGATCGCTAAAACTATGGTGGAGCATGGGTGTTCCATGTGGAACACCTTGATCTATAGAATCCCCATGAGTGCTTTGGCCATGGCTGCGATGTCTCGGAACAAAGAGGCGCTGGGAATATGGCTTGAGCATCATCACCAAGAGAAACACGCTGACCCTACTAAGCCATTTTATGCATGCAGGCAAGCATTAGAGAAATTGGCGCGCAGGGGCGATGTAGAGCTGATGGAGTTCTTTGTGGAGCGGTATCCCCGGGTATTGAATGATCTCCTGGGGCCGTTGCGGCTGGCTGTTTGCTTCACACACTTTGCAGCAGTGCGATGGCTGTTTGCTCGTCTCAGCGCTCCTCTTACACCTGACCAGGGTAGACTGTTGCTGCTCAGCGCTATGGAAGGCCCCTGCGCCTGGCAGCGAATATCACAGATGGTGCAGCTGCTTCTGGAACTTGGAGTTAGTCCAAATGGGAAGTCTCAGCATAGGACACCATTGCAAAAGGCCGTGATATCTGGACAAGAGGAGATTGCCGAGATACTGTTGCAGTATGGAGCGGATGTAAATGAATATCATCCGCGTAGCGCGGCAGTGGGTAGACAAGCCCCGCTGATGTTAGCCGTCCGGCAACGGTCTGTGTCTATGGTTCGGCTGCTCATGAGAAACGGAGCAAATCGAACATATATCATGAAGCGCAAAAGGTACACGATCCATGAAAATAGGGGACAAGTCCAGAATATGGAAAACTGCGCTGATTGGGCTTGGATGGGAAGAAGAGCAGGTGAGGAGACATGAAGGCTGGGACTACTGGGTGCTCTCGGAAAAGCTGCCGCCAGTGACTCCGAAGCAGGAAAACAAGTCCGGCGTGCCGGGAAAGGCATTCCAGTCCCCCACGTGACCCAAGAGCAGCCAGTTTCCCGTTTTGGGGGAGAAACGAAAGGGGAGGGACTCCCATTCTGGAGGAAACAGAGTCCTTTCCTCCCGGTGAATTGCCCGCAAAGGTGATGCCATCCCATCCCCATCCCATCCTATCCCTCCCCCCGTCCGTCCCCTTCAGCCATCCATCCCCAGTCCCCGTCATCTCGCCTATCCTTTCCATCACTCTTTATTCACGATCCCATTACCGCTGTACGTAATTCAAATTTAGCTTCTTTTTTTCCCATCCCACGGCCTCCCTTTCGCGACTCTATCGCGTTCTCCATCCTTTTTGACCTTCCCTCCGATTTTTCCCTTGCGGTCGCCCTTCATTTTTCTGCGCGGATGGTCTGAACCGCCACCCCGACCTTCGCTCACGTTCGCGTCTTGTCGGCCTGGAATCTCAGGTATCCGTCTCTCATCCTGCTTCGGTGCTACCCACGACTCTATCCAGTAGTACGAGGAGGGACTTTGTCGCCTTTCGGACTGAGCTCGTCGGGCCGACAATCCTGCGATTACTCCTATCACCGTGGCCCCAATCCCTAAATACTTCCCCCCCAGTGGCCGATTCGACGGGCAATGGGGGATGCCTCCTCTTTCGGTCTACACGCCTTTTGAATCCCTCCTCTTCTTCCAGTCTCTCGCCGGCCTAGAATCCCCTCCCGCGAACTTTGTCTCCATTTCCGATGTGCTCCGCAACAACCCCTTCATTCGAGAGAATGCCGCCTACGATGCGGCAAGGCTCAGCCCCGAAGCCTTAGAGGATCTCTATGCGACGCTGATGCGAGATGGCTGGGATTCAGCAAACGCGGGACCCAACGGTCACCATGCTGAGAGCCCGACCCCCAATAACCCCAAGAAGCGCAAGATATCCAGCCCTCGAGCGGACGGACTGGTGGACAAAGGTTACAACCACGCCAGCAAAGTGCCCAGGCTAGTGTCGCACCTATATGCCAGATACAAGGAGCTGGTAACGCGGGAGATTCAGAATGAAGAGCAGAGGTATAGGGATATTAGGAAAGAGATCGATCAGCTACAGGAGGAGGAACGCGATGCGCTCTCGGAGACCTCCGCAAGACCTCCACCAGCGCAACCGATTGCGCCCGCGAAGCAGGAGCCCGCGCCAGAACCGATGGATGTGGATGTGAAGGAACAGAAGCCAATTCAACGACCCCGCGATGAAGCTATGCCAGTTGCGACCCCGTCGGTAGCTGCTGATGTTAAACAGCCTCCACTGGAACCGCAACGGAAGGAGCTGGATTCAAGCAAGCAGCCCGCGCAACCTGTCGCGCGCCCACCGCAGGAACCCCGGCCTCTGGCCGCGCCGTCGGTACAGCCCGTCGAACTGCCACCGACAAACAAGGCAAAGCTCCAGCAACAGCCTCAGCCTCAGCCACTGCCGCAACAACAACCTCAACAGCCATTACAACCGGCACCTCGTCCTCAGCCCAACCCTCAGGTAGCGAGCGGTCGGCCGCCTCAGCAGCCACCAGCCCCGAATGGAAAGGCGTTCCCGACACCATCACAACCAGCTATTGTGCCCAAGAATGCCCCTGTAAACCACGCACCAGCGGCCGCGCCACCGGCTCCGTCGCCAAGACCGCCCACTGCCTCAGTACCCAGCCCGGGTGTCGCACGCCCTCCCGCTGTTACACCTTCGCAAGCTCCACAGAAGGCAAGTGTGCCAGTCCCTTCCACTCCGCAACAGCCAGTTCTGGCCAGCAAGCCCTCTGCCAAGGAAGGACAGTCTGTTCCAGCTGCTAGCCCGGCGCCTCAGCGACCTCCGCCCCAGGCTAGTTTCCAGCAGTGGTCTCTAAACAAACCTCCACAAACGCCACAACCTCCCCCAGCATTCGCAAAGCCGAAACCAGAGCCGACGAACGCCGCTGTTTCTGGGCGACCGGTTCAGTCTCCCTTCCCCCCACCCACCCCAGCCTTCGAAAACAAGAAGGGACCGCAAGGACCACGCCCAACACCTGCTCCGTCAACTCCAGGACCTGTGCCTGCGGCCACCCACACACCTGCCCAGAACATTCCACCACCCGCGTTCCAGACCCCGGTTGGACCTGCGCAGGGTTCCATCCTTTCGCGGCCACCGAGCACGCGGCCTCTCCGGCCTTCGATTGACACGGGCGTTCTTACACCTGGCTCTCTCACACCATGGAAGCGGACTCCACGGCTGAGCATCCCCCACTCTCCTCGTTCGCCCGAACGGCCACGGCCTGAGGAGATCAGTCCCATCAGTGAGAAAGCGCCGTCTTTGCCTGGTTCTCGTGAGCCGACACCAGAGGAGCCTGAGCCTCGCCGTCGAAAGCGGAGGACCGAGACGAAAAGCAATGGAACTGGCGCTGATCAGACACTGTCGATTGATGCAGAGAGCAAGGGAGGGACTAAACGGAAGAGTGAGAGGGGAACGCTGTCTAGCGGTAAGGACCGTGACAGAAGCACAGCGTCGTCCCGAAGCCGAGGAAGGTCTGTGTTGTCGCGGGACGAAGAGTCCACAGCGGATACGGGGACTGGCTCCCAGGCGAAAATCAAGCATGAAGTACCCAGTACTCCAGCTGGTATCTCAGAAACGGCAGAGCCCGAACGTCCTTCGGTCAGTCGGCCGAGCAGGGGGCGGCCGAAGCGCAAGCGTGCTCCGAGTGAGAGCCTAGAGGCCGAACCTACTCAGTCGGAGCTTAGCCAGCTCACTCGCGTTGATCCTAATCAGTCGACGTCGTATGTAGTCTGCGCGCGCAACTTCCCCCGGACCGGAGCTCCCATCATGAGTGAGCTTAGCATGCACAAGGTTGCAGGCACCTTTTCAAAGCCGCTGACAGAACGTGATGCACCGGGATACCGCGATCTTATCTACCGGCCGCAAGATATCAAGACCATCAAGTCGCTGATTCACCAGGGTAGCAGGGCGCTGGCGGCGGCTACAGAGGCAGCGAGCACACCGGCAGGCGACGGGGAATCACCGGCGCCGGGTACAGGGACTCCTTCGAAGAATGCAGTCCTTATGTTGCAAAAGACAGAGGACATTATTCCCCCGAAGGGTATTGTGAATTCGGCGCAGCTGGAAAAGGAGTTGATCCGTATGTTCGCCAACGCCGTGATGTTTAACCCTATCCCTCAACGAGGCTTTGGGCCTGCCTTCCCTATGATCAGCGATAGCGGGTCAAGAGAGAGCACGCAGGTTCCCGAACAGGAGGAGGGCGGTATCATCAAAGACACGCTGGAAATGTTCGAAGATGTCGAGCAAGCTGTTACGCGATGGCGCGCGGCGGAGCGGACGGCGGACGAGTTCGCCAGTAAGAGTATCCTCTCCCTGCGGCGAGGAAGTGCCAGTGATCTCAACACGGATAGTGCGGATGAGGTCAAAGGGTCATGAACGATGTATGCCGCACTGTAGCGTACTTGATTGATGTATTATTATTATTATTATTATTATTATTATTACCCACATGTTCGGAAAATAGACGCATGCTTCCCACATGTTCCGCAAAGAGAACATGGTAATTCTATTTCATAACCATGAGCTTTTGTATCCCAGAGATACCTAAACCACATAACCAATAAAACACATCTATAGTCATTCATATGCATCATGCAAAAACATCACTTGACATCATCATAAACCTCACGCCGCAATCGCCTGACCCGGCTTCGTCCTCCCCAATCCCTCCTTCGCATAAAAGTCCATCGGATACACTCCGTTATTCTCCGTCTCCCACCCCTCCCTCACCCCCAGCGCAATCAACGCCTCATACGGCGTCAACAGAGGTCTCGCAAACGCATATCCCCAATCAATACTCAACCGCGGACAAGCAATCTGCACCCAGCACTCCACATCCGCCATAGACGCCAACTTCCCGGGGAATATCTCACTCAAGAGGAGATTCACGAACGGAATGCCCCTCTCATTCAAATGTCTCTCTATCATCGCCATCGTATTCGGATTCCCCTGTCGGCCCAATGACCCCAAAATAATCCCCCACTTCTTCGCCGACTTCGCCGTATTGATCGCATCCCGGCGCAGCGTATGCATCTCATCATGAACATACGTCTCCCTGGACAACATCCTCGAATACGGATCATACCGGTACGCAGGAATAGCCGGGTTATGAATCATCGCCGATTCGAGATGGAAGCGGCCGTCGCCGAGGTAGAGAAGGATATCGACTTCGTCAGCAGAGAGCGTCGGGGAGGTACATCCTAGGATTTCTCCCTTGGAGAGAGGCATGATCTGCGGAATGAGGACCTTGAAGCCTGCGCGCTCGAGAACGGGTTTCAGGCCGTGGAGAGTAGCGTTGAATTGGATGGTGCCGACAGTGGCGATGGTTTTTCCTGGTTGGAAGTTGCGTTCGAGGGTGGCGATTAGGTGGGTGGTATCGATGCTGATGTCGACGAAGATGTACAGGGTTTTGATCTTGGTGACGTCTACTGGGATCAAGCAGCTGTGGGCGTAGTGGACGAGTAGGTCGCACCCCAGTGCGCGCGCTGTGTAGTCGTCGATGCAGCAGGCGCCGTAGGTCACGTCGCCCATGATGAGGGTTTCGATGCCCGGGCAGAATTGGGTGAGGATGTCGGAGATGGTAGTCGCGAAGATGAGAAGGCCTTCGGGGAATTGGAGAGCCACGCGTTTGGCGCCGGAGGTGCGGATGCGGTGGATTGTCTTGGGGATCTCGAAGGAGTAGTTGCGTGGGAGGAGTTCGATGGCGGCGAGGATTTCCGGGTCTTCGAGGATCTCCGGGGGGACTTGGTTTAGGGTGCGAGGGGTGCGGCGGGGGGTGGCTGTGTTGATGGGAGTGTTAGTTCGTTGGGATGTTGGAGGTGAAGTTGTGAAAGCATGTAGTGTTGGCTGTTGGAGGGGTACTGACCCTTTTGTATACTGGTAGTCTCGACATTTTGTGCGGTGGACGCATCCTTCTGTGCTTGTGCGTCTGCTGTTCGGCGACCGACGAATCTCTTTTTGGGCTGTCGCAAGGGGGCGCTCGATGGCGCGGAGTCTTCCGGTATGCCGTTCATGGTGTAATATGGGTGTGATGGAGGGCGATATGGAGCAGCGATAAAGTGACTCCAAAGTGGGATGATGGATATTTTAGGCTGAGTCAGCAGGGCGGGTCAGGTGGGGTCACGCCGTTCGGCCTCGGTCGGTTCTCCGCATTCCGCAGGACAAGCTGATCAGTTCATCCTGCCATCACCACTTCTCCTCTTTCCGAGGGAGCTGTCGCGTTGATTGAATATT